GTAGTGACAGTCTCTCTGGCTCGAAGAGGCCGCTTTTGGGGCGTTTTATGACTCGTTTTGCTCCTTGGTCCAATAACCACTTTCTCCCATATATAATGGTATGATAGATGATGAACATAGAGTCACGATAAACACAGAGTCAAGTGCACGTCAGGTTGGTCAACTCCGATAATAGTTGCTGAACATAGAGTCACGATAAACATAGAGTCACGAACATGCAAGAAAAAACAAACTCCAAGCTCCAAGTGCATCGATGATGATGATGAACAGAAAGTCACGGCAAACATTGCGTCAAGATGCGTCAGACACATGCAACATGAGCTGATTGCGGGTGACAAACACAGAGGCTACACCTAGAGAGATGCATGTGGAGTCCATAGACTAGTACATCGACGACCGCACCCTGGATCCTAAACTCTGACCTGACTTTCTTTGTGCTTGATGACTCTGTGCACTTCACTCCGTGACAACATGTACTTCCTCTCCGAGTTTACATGACGCTAAACTTCGCAATTGGTGCTTTCGGGCAACCTGTCTTCTAGTAAATATCGTAAATTGGAAGGAAATTGCAGTGTAGCTGAACTTATGCAGGCGGTGCATTCCTTTGGGTCGATCTTGAAGGACTAGCCATTTGCCAACGATGGCCATGCAGGGTCCAATTCGGTTTCCAGTCGCCAGACGCGAGGTCGCAGGACAACCGAAATCTTCTCTTTTTTCAGACCCCAGAAATTGACAGCACTGCAGCTTGGGACAAGGATGCCTTAGCATTGCTGGGCAGACGGCGAGGTGGCAAATTTTCCATGTATGCTGTTTCATGTCAAGTTCTCAGACGATTCCTGGCAGCTAAAAGAGTTTCTGGAGTCGGCACGTGATCCTTGGGAGGAAAAAACATGTGCAGTCGATCGTCCGCATGCATATGTTTGTTATATTTTTGGGAGGCATATACAGTATTTAACAGTTCTTAATTAGGCATTGTTTTTGTGCTTTATATACCATGCTTAAATAGACACTATGTTGCTTAATCAAGATGACCAAAGATATGTAAAAATTATTTAAACATCTTTGGAAGCTCTGGGCAGTTTTAGAACTATAGTGCTGCTTTTGGTCCAGAGTGTGTTGCAAGCGAGTTGTGTTGCCGGTGTTTCATAGGGGGAGCAGCCAGTTGTGCAGATGTAACATAGCGCGAGTCTGCACCACACAGCCGGTGCGAGCCTGTGCGAATGTCGGTCTAGGGTAGGGGGTACCAAGTTCTCGAACACTGCCTCATCTGCCTTAGTAGTAGTACCACAGACAAAGGAGGACAGTGCGCGTTCGCGTGCAGGGGTGAGCGTTGCTTGCCCTTCGTCTGTGTGGAAGAGATTGTTGTGACCGAGTTAAGCGGATTCCCCTGCTGTTAACAACAGCAAAGACACGGCTTTCGACTCTTAGCGGTTTTTGGGAGTTTCTTTGCTGATCACTAGCGCTTGAAGGGTTTGGCAAACGGTTCATGTGGAATGTGTTCCCGATAGACTCTGGGCTCTAGACTAGATGAAGGCACTATCGCACCAAAGTCGTTTCAGCCGTCGTAGTGGTCGCAGTGGTTGTGCTGGTCTTGGTGGTCATAATAGTTGTGCTGATCGTGGTGCTCCTTTTTTCCGGATGCTCGTCGTCGTCATGGTCGTCTAAATCGCAGTGGTTGTTGTAGTGGTCTAGTTGTGGTCGTCGCGGAGGTCCTGGTCCTGGCCTTCGTGATGCTCGTGCTCGTATCTCCCGAACGTGTTTTTCACTGTTTGGGCAATTTGCATAATGTTGTTATTCACGTGCCATTATCCATACTTTGTGCATGAAAGTTTTCATTTTTAGTTTCGATTTGTTCCTTGACATTTCGCTTGTTGCATCCCTCAAAGTGTAAGTTATCATCGGTCTCCAGCATACATGGGTCTCCATTCGGTTTTGTGGTCTCCTCATGTACGCTTGTTTTGAATCATAAAGTTTTCGCAAGGGTTAGTTTCACGAAAATTTCGGATTATGTTTCCTTTCGGAACAACTCATGCAATCACATGGTTTTCGAAACTGAGTGCACGCAAGGCTTTCATGTTCGGGTTGCAGTCAAGACCGTAGCATCTTCCAATGCATGCCGTAGCTTGGTGGTGGTGCTTGCTTTCGTGCCTTGGGCTCCAAGCTGGCAGACGCACGGGGAGCGGAGTGCTTGGCGCTGGCATAAAGGAGGCGCATGATACATGTTTGCATCTGTGATGTTGCGATCCGGTAGAGACTTTCGCAAGCCGTGTGACAGGTGCTTCGACGACATGTTCCAAGAGCACGAAACGCTGCGCTTCATCCCGGGACGCGAAACTGATGACACTGAACCCAATGTTGAGGATGAGGAGCGCTTATCGGATTTTGCAACGCAAGACTTTGGGCATGAGCTCATTCAAACAGTGTTTCGTGTGCAGCCCAATATCATGAGGGCCTCGAAGACACGATCAAAAGAAAGTTCAAGAAGTTCGTGGAAGAGTTCACGTGCGACGTTCCATTTCGTGTGCTGACAAGTTCGGGCCAGAGACAGGAGGAACCTTACAGCGGTGATTCATTCAGTCTTTGGTTGCGCCGGTTGTGTCGGAACCAGTTTGCATGTCTGAAGTCTTGTAAGTTGGCAGTTGTGCACAATGCAAGTGATGTTGATGTCGATTTTTTGTTCGCTCTTGAGGAGTTTAGCGGCCTTGCCTTCAACAGTGTTGGAAACTGTCACTATATCCACTGCAGAACGTAGTGTCGCGGAATCCGACGACAACTGCTTGGCACTGTCGTCTGGAACGGTACCTAAGTTGTATATCTGCGTTCTTGCGCGTGCTGATGTTGTCATTGTCCATGTCGCGAAAGTCCCGTCTAGCCAAGGTTTCGCGCATCGAGATTGGGTCTGATAGGATTTTCACAGCCGATGCGTGCGCATGAAATAATTTTCTTGCATGAGTACACTTTGCAGACAAGTTCAACTGTCGACAAGAGCATGTTGCTCTGCATGGTCTCAGTTGCCCGTGTTCAATGATCCCAGATTCAGCCTAGTGTGACAAGAGTGTTTGCCAACGAAGCCTTTGCCTGAAGGTACAAATCCAAAGAAAGTGGGAAAACAAACCAAGACACGTCCTGCTGCCATGTTTGTTAGTAGTTCAGAACTCAAGTCTCGATCGGGATGAGGCTCTGCTTGTCTACGGGCCGATGAGCGGCCACCGCATAAAGTGCTAGCACAACTGATATGTCATGGACGATGGTACTGCAACACTTGAAAGTTCGTTGTCGATGGTAGCACACAACAGGAAGAAGTACATGGACCAGCTGGAGCGGAACTTCAGAACCGGTGTGCAGAAACTGGAGGTGCCTTCCAGCATCTTCCAACCGCGGTGACAGTCGCACATTGCACATTCTGCCTTGACTGCCACGAGTTCGCTGGTCCCAAGTTTGCCAGTCCCAAGCGCCAGGTTTAAAAGGCTAGTGGTCCTGAGCAGCTTTTTATGTCGGCAACACAGTGCACCCATTCGCGACAATGGTTAGATAATGGAATCTAAAGCCAATGCGACAAGCTGGTGAGTTCGTCCCTCGTCCCAGTTGCTGACAGCAAGCTGTGAATGTCATCCTTTCTGGAGCTGCACGCATGACGGTGACAACGGGCTCTGCCGGCACCCTTTCTTCGACCTGCAGGCGTGGGAGTGTTAATTGAACGGCCGTGGAGTGGATTGTCCATGGCTGAGTATACACCGTGTTGTGTGAAGGCCAATTGCTTTGGCAGCTCTCGCCCGAAGCTGAGAGGGAAGAACTCGCAAGAGAAATGCTTGACAACTGTAGCACCCAATGTGCAAGCACAGCTTGGTGAGGTGCTGCAGTGCTGTCGATATCTCAGTTACAAGAGGGAGCTTCTAAACCAGTGCATCACGGTGACATAACTATGTTCAAATGCTTACATTGGGGTGCATGCACGGTGCATCCGTCTATGCAGGCTTCCTCGTGTCTGCAGGTGTCTAAGACTCAGTGCGTCTATGTCTAGCACATGTGATCATTTGTCTGTTTAATTGTTTCTATAGCGCATGTTCAAGTAAGTGTATGCAATTATATTTGGCTGCAAGAGAACACGACATGGCGCAAGCCTGGATGCTGCCGGTGCCCACGTGTAGGAAGCTGAGCCATGAGTGCAAAGTGATGCTTCCTGGCTTTTCCTGGCGGGATGCATGACCGTGGACCTTGAGTGGTTAGAGAGGGGAAACGCATCACAGAACTGGCGAACAAGCCCAAAGCGACGCCACGCTCCGTTGAAGTCTCGAGCGACGAGTCCTCAAGGTGAGCTGAAGGCTTCTGCCAGATGTGTTCCAAAGGTGGCAAGCGGCCGTCGAGAGCCGCAGCTTGTCGGCCTCCGGCACAATGCGTCTCGCAAGACCCTGGCGGAAGCCATGGCGGCTGGGCCCTGGCAGGTTGCAACGTGGCGAGGCACTGGCACCATGCTTTCGGTTCACCATGCCGCCATGCAGTCTGCTGAGATGGGTCGTCATTTTCGAGCTTGTGCATGGGCAAAAGCAGCGGAAGATCGTGCAAGAGCTGCCGAGTGGGCCAGAAGGCGACGCGAGAAGGGTCATCTGAAGGTGGGGGGCGTGGATGTCCTTTCCGAGAAGCACCAGGACCAAGCCGAGGGCACAGAGTTACTGGCAGAGCCGACTCGGTGCCCCCTTTGCGGTGCAGCGCTGACTGCACTGACTGACTTTGATTGCTGTGATTGCATGCAACGAAGTATCACGGGACCACTGGAGAAAGACAGAAGCCAAGAAGCTTCAGTGTCGAAGCAAACCTCACTGCAAGCTGCAAGTAGGCGAGCGTCTTTGGCCAGGCGTATGTCGCTCCAGGTCGGACGCCGCCAGTCTGCCGACATGGATGGTCTGGGTGTGGGGAGGCAAGCATCAGATCGCCGCAAAAGTAACGAGAAGCAGAAGAAGCCTGCCACACTTACCAGGCTGCAAAGATTGATTCAGGCTAAGCGCATGGAGTTTGATGCGCTTCCGGAAGGGAAGAAAGAGAGGTTCCGCAGCGCCTATGATCAAGCAGTGGAGTCTTGGCTTTCGGCCTTTCGGTAAGGTTTTTTCACAGCTCGGAGGCTTTCTTGGACGCTTGGACGCTTCCAAAGCTTCCAAACCTTTTGTCGAGGCTGGCCAGGGGGGCCTCGGAGGCCAACAGCTTCGCCAAGCTTTAGCTGATCTTGGCCTGGCTGGCCGACAAAACCACGAGAAGGAGGCCTGGGCGGCCTGGGCTGGGTTTCCATGCAGCAGAAGCCTGCTTGCACCGCACAGGCTGTTCATGAAGTCGTTCGGGAGTCCATTGCTGCAGGGTTGGCCACTCGTCCTTTTATCCCTTCAGGGCCCTGTGTCTTGACATGGCCAAAAAATGGCCACAACTCCCCCTGATACGGCACCCAAGGTTGATTTCCTGGAGTTCGTCTTTCAAGTCGTGCCCAAGGCCAGGAGCTTTGTGTCGAAACCCATCTGAGAGTGGAAGAGCACGGGTGCACATCTCCATAATCAGGTCTCAAGCATAGAGCTCTTAAGGATGCCACCTGCGCTCCCTGGCAGAGCTGCTTAGCTATCGCGTGTATCGTTTCTCGAGGTGGAGCAAAAGCTAGTCGAGGCCAAGTCACCCAAATTGCTCTCACTTTTCAATCAGCCGCCTGGCAATTCGTCAATGTTTAGCTGGAGCCGAGTTTGCGTTGCTTGTGTTGGAAGGGTTCAGCAGGTGCTTCTTCCGCGGTTTGTTTTTTGAAGCCGAGTCAGAACTAGTACGATTGCGTATGCGTTCATGTTTCCAAAATCGTACCTGCATTCACGGAGCAAGGCTGGATGTTGCCATGGCGGGCAGCCTGTCCTGTTCGGACTGCATTGAAGCCCTGCGGCGACATGCGGATTCCTTCATCACGGTTCTCGATGGAGACATCATGGAACAGCTACCTTGCCGATAGACCGGCAGGATGCATATGCTGCATTTGCTACAGGAAACAAGAGTAGGGTTGGCACTGTTCCGTGCCTAAGGTTTTGGCCAATCTTCGTGAAAGAGCTGGCGCAGCAGCATAAGGCCACGTCTCGCTAATGCTGCGGCCATGGTTTGCAGCAGCTCGCAGTTTATAGTCTGTCAAGGTTTCCAAGCACAGCGACGAAACCATAGATTTCGCCAATTTCCAGCGACTCGCTTCTGAGGCTTGGTCAGATTCAGAAGATTTCACCGTGACACAAAACAGGCTGACCCGGTGGACGAGTAGGGCCGGTACTTTTCTCAGACAGCTTAAGCAGCCTGGAAGCCCTAGATCCCAAGCAGCCACAATTCCTGGGAGGCACCCCGGCATGTTGTGATGCCAACAGCATCCAATAGCACGGGGTTTTTGGTCCGTTGCTGTATTGCCAAGCCTGAGTTGTCGACAACTGCGGAGCCGGAAGCGGTAGCACGATTAAGGAAACTGGAGCGCGAGCCAGTTTAGAAGTTATAGGACTTAAGGCCGGGCAAGATTGTTACTTACGATATGGGGCCAAAACGGATCAAAAAGCAAAACGGAGAAGATGTGTGGATGATGCCAAAGATAAAGCGTCCAAAACTGGAGCAAGTGGCCGAAATTCCGTCCACAAGACTGGAGTGCACAAGCCGGCTTACGTAGGGTTCACCTCAGAAGTGCCATTGCATAGACGTGCTGTCACAGTATTATATGACCATAGTGCATTGGCATATTTATTTCAGGCCTCAGCGGCCTCAAGGTTTCAATTGTTGCCCAGTGGGGTTTGGGATTTGGTTGTAAGCCAATGGCAGACGGTCCTTATGAGCTTGTGCTCTTTTCTGCCCCTGGTTGTGCCCACTGTTCGTGGGAACAAACGGGATAGACCCAGCACGCACCGGTTCCCAGCCAAAGGCCCAGCGGAGGTGCAGTTCCCTAACAACAGACAATTGGCATTTGTGGGGAGATTTAATGGGTGCAGAGGAAGTTTTGGATCTGCTGCCTTGCTCATCCTGAAATCCTGAGGTAGTGCTGTCTTGCTCTGCTATTCATTAGACGCTCTACGAAGCAGACTGCATGCAGAGGCCATTTCGTGAAGAGTTGTCAAAGGGGAACAAGCTAAGGCGGAATTCGAATAGCTTGCTTGGGCAGAGCCAATTTTCTACATTCTTCCCACGGTAAAGGCAGTGTTTCAAGCCTGTGAGGTGTTCCGTTCGACACAGCTCCGAGGGGTTCTCTGCATGTGCCTAAGGAGGTTGAGGTGAGGCTCTTCGCCTTCCAGGGCCAAATGGAAGAGCGAGCCGCGCGATCGGCAGGCCTTCCACCAGCATTGGAGGCCCTTGGGCAGCACGCGGTGGCCTCGCTGCGAAACTAACTGGCACTCAGAAAACTGAGGCTGCTCACTTTGGCGAAATTGCGGTGATGATGAGATACTTTTATCGCTATGCCGCCTGAGAAGAATGGACATCTTGATTTTCAGGTTTGCATATGAAGGAATGAACTGGCTAGAGCTTAAACAGTGTGTGTGGGATCAGTTGTCCAGTCTCATGACATGAGGAGAAGCACCAACGTGGTTTACTAGGCACACAGGAGTTGGTCATGGCCCTCATGGACTCTGGCACGCTACCAACTGTTGGAAGACTGCATATGACAACAGTGAGCAACTTTGCCACCCGCAATAACAGGCTTAGTGTTTACAGATTCCCTGATTTCTTGGAACAAGTGGACAGTCTGCGGCGAGAAGAAAAATCCCAACGTGAAGCAGCTTTCAAATCTTGGTACACGATACACAAGTGGGCGGATGATAAAGCTATTGCGGTCACTGACATGCCTCAGCTGATCATGGACCTGTCTTTGGTGGCAGACAGTTGCCGCAGCGTCATGGATGTGAGGGCACTGGTTGAGGACTGCCACAAAAGCGGCGCCGAGTTCTTGCCACTTGACAAAACTTATGGTGTTCTTAGCGTGCATGAGACTTCTCACGCACAGCCTAGCGAATCCTTGTGAGGCAGATCGACGCATCGACGGAGCTGTGCAACAGGGTTGTCGAGAGTGCTCGTGTGGCTGCTCGGAGACGAGAGGCTCTGGTGGCCGAGCAAGTGAAACTGTCGGAAGAGCAGGTCTTCGACATGCGTGGCTGTTTTTCTGAAATGACACACAGCGGGGTCATCGGTCCAGATGACTTGCACTACCTCTTGGTGGAACTCTTCCCGGACCACGAGATTGATGATGCATTCGTGCAGGAGTTACTGGATCTTGCACTGCCATCTGGTTATTTCCACTCGAGCAGCAAATCTGCTTCTTCGTCTGCTCCGCGTGCTGCAAAGCCGAGCGAGAGCAACCCAAGCAAGAGCAAGGCAGCTCAGGCCAGTATTTCTTGCGTAGTCAGGGAGCGATGTGATAAGATGTGGCTCAGTGTAGCGAGAGGCGCAAGAAGACGAAGCAGCGGCTCATCGAAAGGTATCTCGGTTGCGTTACATGCCTTCCACGTGACATCTTCAGCTTCTTCCATTACTGCCACCAGCTATGCAATGTAGGAATATGACCAGCATTCACAAACAGGTTGAGTGAAAGGCTGCAGTAGTGATCAATCGAAGGAACACTTGAATCATTAGTCAGCGAAGCCGTGTGCGGGCCACGCTTGCAGGTTTTGGAGGAAAGTATATTACGTTTTGATGGCCCCCTGGCACGAAATTACACACGGCCATCGTACCAATTCTGACATTGCAGCATGCGCAGACACTCGCAAGAGGCGGTTGAACAAGGTCACTTGAAGACTGTTTCTTTTCGCATCTTCTTGTTTTGCTTGCATGTGAGGTTTTTTGTGGATTGTGGGTCACCTGCTGAAAACCGGCGCGTGACGACTGGTTGGCCTCCTCAGGAGCGACCAGACCAGAGCGACGCTCTTTTTGAAGAGGGGCTGAGAGCCAGCTCTCTCAGCAGACAGCACACTGTTTTGAAGCAGCGCTGGAAGCAGCGACGTCTCTTCTCCTGGAGCAACAGCCCAGAGCGTGTCACCCGTGCGAGGAGGGAAGGCTGAAGCCTGCCCGGCTTCTCGCAGCTAATGTATCGGGCGTGGATCTCCGCGTCAGTCTAGGCAGCACCTGAGCAAGAGGTACACCCTTCTGCTTGAGCTGCAGTTCGGAAGGAAGAGGAGCACAGACGGCCTCATCTACCGGACTCGAGCCATGCCGAAGCTTTGCAGCTGTAATTGATGCCTGAACTGACCGAGGTTTGCATGAAGGACTTGCCCAGAAGGCAGTCTGAATCTGGAGACCCCAATGCATACTGAGCACTTTTCAAGACCAGGAGCAGAAGTTCGAGCTGGATATCCCACGTCTGGTGCTGAGTCGCCGATCCTCATGAAATGCACAGGCTCTGAGGTTCTCATGCGAAAAATGCATGCTGGAGACTTGGTGCTTGAGGTGTTACGGTTGAAGAGTTGGTCAGTAGCTTATGCTTTCGTACTTTGAGTACCCTGCAGATATGTTCTGCTCTGAGACTGCAGGAACGAAACGTCACGTTGAGAACTGGGCTTCACGCTTACGTCTTTCTGGCGTGTCTTCAATGCTTCGGCTGAATTACGACGTCACCTGTGTAAAGCAACTGGATGCTCCGAAGCTACCGTAGCAGTGCTTCTTGCTCGTGAAATACCCCAAACTCGCCTGGGTTGCTGAATGTCGTGGTTCCATCACCGATCCGCAACGTCCTACATTTTTTATTGTGAAGCCGATGGCTGGTTTTTGAGACTCGGGCACGTGTCGGTCGTCCTTTAAGTGTAGCTTTTGCACGCCTTTTGAAGATGCAGGTTCTTCATGGCTTTGCCCACAAGTGGAAGGCAATGAACTGGCGAGGCTCTTAACAAGAAAATGTAGGTGTGCTGGGACGGCGTGGATACACAAACTTGCTGCTACATGTTGCACAAAGAAACACCGAATCTCAGGACGTTGGACTATCTGATGGGGAAGATACCTTTCGAGTGGGTCTGCGTCTGGCTGGGGGTTGACCAACCCTGCCTGCTTGTCTCGAGTGGGTGGATCCGTCGAGGTTGACTACTACCCGAACAACATGCGGGATGCAGCGGCCTTACGCCGTCAATATGGAAAAAACTTTGAAGTGTAGTTTTCATACATGTGAGTTAGCCGACGGAGAGTTTTCTTTGGGACTGCAGAACTTACCCATTTTCGATGGGTGTGATCTTCACTTAAACGAAATGATATGCAGGACAATCAAGAGATTTCCGCAGTTGAGCCAGTAAAGCTAAGCTTCGGTTCGGAGCATCTGCAGGCATCAGCTAGCGATCTGATTATCGGAGCCCGGTCGGTAACTTCTTATGATGTTGTCCACAGAGTAGAGCACCAGCTGCACCGGCGGAAGTCCTTGGAACGGGCTCCTCCGGAGACCCATGACCAAAAGTCTATTCACGAAAGCTCTGCGGAGGAAGCTGCATTGGGCTCTTACTAGATCGTCCCTCTCGCTTTGACACCCAGCTATGCTGCAGTTTTTCCGAGCCATCTCTTGAGCTGTCGCAGCCAGCGCAGGTCAGCAGCAAGCCATACCTGTGGAAGTTTGACAAAGCCGTGCCTGCTCCCTACGAAAGTCTGCCTTGACACTGCATCTCAGTGAAGTCTACTGCCACACATTTTTGCTAGGCGGGAGTTTCAGAATCCGAAAGAGTTTAGAACTGGCAAGCCGAAGCCGGGAACCTAGCCAGGCTTCATGAACGCAGTTTGATTGACGGCATGACCGTCTTTGGGGATGCGGCAGAGGTACATGCAGATCCGGCCCAAGCCTAAGATACGTGCTTCCTACTCTGGGTGCAGGACGTGCTTCACGTGCGGTGTGGGCCACGCATTCGGTTGCAAGAGCTTGATCAGACTGGATGTAACATTTCTGCTTCCTTGAGTGTTCGAAGGTGAGCCTTCAGGGGATGTCTGCGCTTGAGCACTAAGTCACTAAGCAAGGAAAGTAGCCGCAGCAGGGACTGGAACAGCTTAGTTGTTCGATTGAAGTGAAGCTATGTGAAGCTAATGCGTATTGGGCATGTGGCAGAGGTGTGGGTCATCACAGCCTCGTTATTCCTTTCGGCATTGTCAGGGTACCACCATATTGTATTAGTTACCGGGCGCACCGGCGGACTGTGCAGCCAGACCTGGCCACCGGTTTCTGACAGGCTTGGTCTGCGTGGCTGGAAACGGCTGAAAAAAGACTTCGTCCCGACTTGAACTCAGATGAAATGCATGCTGCGGTTGTTTGCATTCAGGCTTTGAGAGCTTAGCTTTTCATGTCAGGAATCTTGACCTTAGGACCTTCCTTGCTGGATTCATCTTAGACCCAAACCTTCCTGTTAAGATGTTGGACTGAAGTCTTGTAGCTGTGCAGGCTCTGCCAGGATTTCGCACCGTACAGCCTTAACAAGCCGTAACTCAACTCCAAGCCATCCTGAAGCCTTGAGAAATGTAGATGCTTCGCTTCCTGACCTTGGACGGCCACCGTGCGTCGATGACTCCTTCTGTCCGAACAAGGAAGCCGTTGCCGGAAGTCTTCTGGGACGATGACGAGTGGATCGGGTCGTGCATGAGCCAGGATGGCAAGGCCTATGTCTTCGTGAGTCGTCCACCTCAAAAGACTTTTCCTTCTACGTTCTAACTCATGGGTGAGTTGGGATGATGATGTGACGAGAGCCCACAGGTTCCGACAAGAGCTGCCCATGCATTAAAGGCTTTGATATGTGCTGCGTTGATTTGGAATGCAGGAGACGGCTGCTGTTTTCGGACCCTGATCGGTTCTCGGGTGCACGGCGATGATGTTGATGACATCTGGCTTGTGGCCAGGTCGACCAGTCTGCCATCAATAATTTCTTTGTTACCAACCAATGGAAGTTCTTGCTCATTGGTGAGGAAGGCCGAAGAGCTTCGTGTTTCTTGGTGCAGTCGTTTTGGGTGCTGGGATGTGCTGGGCATTGGCAGGCACGAGCATGTTCTTCCACAAAGATGGTACAGTCCAGGGCTTAGATCTGCACCAGCTTTTGGCCACAGGCTCTTCAACCAAATCGTAAAACCAACTTGAGGCTTTGGGCTCAAAGCAGCGGCAGAAGGTTTAGACCATGGGTGTCTCGAATACTCCAAGCTCAGAGACTCGGGAGAGGAGTCGCAGCAGGGGTGCTGAGGAGTCGCCGGTGCCGATCATAGACATTTCCGCCCTCTCTGGCGACGATGCTGCAGGAAGGCGGTCTGTGGCACAGGAGATTGGTCGTGCCTGTGAGAAGATCGGCTTCTTCGTCGTGGTTAATCATGGGATCCCGAAGGAAGTAGTTGACAATGCATGGAATAAAACTCTTGCTTTCTTTGACATGCCGTTGGACGAGAAGAAAAAATTCATCAGCGAGGATGAATCGAAGAATCCTTACGGTCGCTTGTCCGGAAGTGCGTTTTGCCACTCCGGCTCTGTTGACTTATGTAGCCTTACAGCTATGCATGTGCAGGCAGAAACTCCTGCACATCCACCGAGGCTATTCCGTCCTGGGCGGCGAGCAGCTGTCCCGAGGAAAGGAGGTAGACGGCGGGGGCAAGAGTGCCGCAGCAGGAGATCTCAAGGCGACCGACCGAGCACCCGCTGCTCGAAGTGTTGTTGTCTGGGGAGCCCAAGGGGCGGCAGCACTGTGCTGAAGAAGAGAGAGCGAGCGAGGGTCAGAAGAAGCCCCAAGTGACCCCTCCAACAACACCCATGACAGCACAGTCGTTTACCACGCTGTTGGCGCATGCGCCGGAGTGTCAAAAAAGCCTCAAAGCAAAACAGAGCCGTCATTGATGCCGGCGGCCGAAGCAACGAGCGGCCACGTGTGCCAGGACTATAGTGACGTGACTGCTGCGAGGGGCAAGGGGCACATATTGCTCCTGCCCTCAGACCCAGCAGAAGCAGAATAATAAATTTGCATGCTGCGTGAGTGTCGATTTCATGATCCACGTTCAGGGAATGCCTGCCGAAGAATCTTAGCGGATACATGCGATGTGAGCGAGAAGCGGTGAGCAGCGACAAACTGGCGCTACGAGTCTACGAGTCCTTCAAAGCCTCAGCCTCCTTGGTTGAACAAGCGCCGATCACTGCACATGCGAACCTAGGAAGAACACACAGAATCTTGAAAGACTCTTGATGTCACCTGCTACCCGGCGAAGACATGCGATGACTGACGTGTCAGGATCAGGACAGCAGAAGCTGAAGCAACAGTGAAACGAACGCACTGATAGCACGGATCGGAACAAGCGAAAAACATCGAGACGCAGCTCATTGCCAAGAAAACAGCCACAGAGGAACATACTGCGCAGGAGATGTTTCAGATGGGTCCCAAAGATCCGGCGGCTGGGATGCCTCCGCGGAAGCTTCCGCAGGAGCCAGTGGGTTTTGCCGATGCGTGGGATGCTGCTCAGCTCATGCCAACTCATCTCACAGATCCTGGTTTCCTGAAGCAGAGCAGCCCGAGAGTGAAGCCAGCTAAGGTGTACTACGACCATGCCAACCACTTGGCTCAGAGGCTCCTCCGGGCCTTTGCCATCGCACTAGATCTGCCTGAAGATTGGTTTGTTGGAAAGACTGACAAGCACCTTTCGGCGTTGAGATCGAACAACTATCCAGACCAAGCCGGGATGACCGAGATCCCTGCAGGCTCAATCCGTTGTTCAGCCCACACGGACTATGGCACGGTGACCATCTTAAGGTCCGGAGGTCCTGGGCTGCAGGTCTCAAAGGACAAGGAGAATCCCAAATGGCACGATGTTCCTTTCGTCGAGAACGGCTTCGTCATTAACCTGGGAGATCTTATGAGGCGATGGACCAACGACAAGTGGAGCTCCACACTTCACCGAGTCATCAATCCCCCTACTGGCAAAGCCGCAAGCTGGGGAAGGCGTCTGGCTCTGGCCTTCTTCCACAATCTCAACAAGGCAGGGCAGCAGGACAGAAGAGGTGCCCCTACCTCGATTTCTCTCTGTGCTTCTCCCCCAGGATGCCCTGGTCGAGACTATTCCCTCGTGCATCTCGGATGACCGCCCTGCGCTCTATGATCCTATCGTGCCTTGGCCTTCCTGAGACCGTACTTGCAAGCAGCATGAAAGAGCCCTGAGTGGCCCGTCCTTTAGGTGGCTGGGGAATTTCTCATGCTGAAGCACTTGGCCAGCAATGGCAAGGCTGAGCCTGATGCTCATCTGAAGCGCTCGAAGGGTGCCGCTCAATGATGCCATCTGGAAGCAGCATAATGCTGCGATGATGTCATTCGCGGCTGTGGCCACTGAATGTCGAGCAGTCGCGCATTCCTGTGAGTACCCAGTGCACAGCTATGCACGCAGCAGCTCTCGAAGCTACGATGTGCGTTGTCTGCCTCAGTGTGCAAGACAGGCATGTCTCTCGAGTTTCGTGTCTGATGACTGGTGTCCAGAGATGTTTGGCGTCTATGCTTTCTGTGCTCGTTGGATATCCACCAGCATGTTGGGGTATTGGACACCGATTGTCGCCGTTAGTGTCTCACCGACGCTTCCGTCACGATCTCGGCTGTTGATTTGCACAGCCAGACGCCTGCGGAAGTTCAAGTTAGCTGTTCCGACGTCAGCCCACGCGTACATGCAAACCGTAAGGCAAGCTGCCAAAGACACGCAAGCCTGGTCAGCCTTACCCGATGCATCAACTCCGACCGCCTCTTGCTGTACCGTACTTTTCCATGTTTCTTTCATTGGAGTCACGCTTGCAATGCTGGTTGCGATATGAGGCTGCTTCCAGTTGGCAAGTGCAACTTGTTGGGAAGAAGAGGCCAGCTAGCACCTCCAGTCTTTTGTGCTTAAGTTTGCCAGAACTTCAGTCTTGAAGTTTTAGCGCTCCGGTTTGTCCTTGTGCTTGTCTCTGTCGTCGCCTTCGACTAGCAGGTGGACTTTGTGCCCAAATTCTGAGTCCCAGCTCCTTCACACAGAGCTGGACACGTGCTCCGACCATTCTGGTACCGTGCGAGAACTGGGTGGCCAGAGGTTGCTCCCAGACTCCGCCAAGGTACAATCCTGACTATTCCAAGTTTCCGCGGTTTGCGCAAGCCGCCTGTGGACAGGCCACCGAAAACGAACGGTGCAGAAACACCGATTTGGGTTGTTGCACTGACTGTTCAGGTAACTGTATCCCCAGGTGTCTGGCCGACATGCTTTCGAGATGCTTCATTTGGCGCACTTACATCTCAGGTGTTCATTGCGCACGCCAGGAGCTTCTATATTATCCAGCGTACTGGTGGCACCATACTCTTCAGGCTGGTCCTGCACTCTCGTGCGACAGCTGCTATCCGTTACGATTTTGGTGACCAGCGATCCTTGCGGGTCTCGGGTCATCAGGGAAGCTGGAAAGACCAGACAACTGCAGCGATGTAGTGCGTTCTGTGTGGCACTTTCCGACCGTGGTTCCTGAAGCCAGGATGGCGGAAATGATCCTTGCACTTTCCGATCAGGGGCTAGCATGGTTCACGGTTTTGTTTTTTGGTTCTACCAATGTTTTGCAAGCTGCCGGCGTACCATGCTGCTGTTGTTTACGGTTGAAGTGTCAGAATGACATACAGTTGTTTTTGCTTGCTGCTTGAGCATATTTGAGAACAGCGTCGTTGATCGTTCTGCCATATGCTCCGGCCGGTGTCTCCTCATACCACTAAGTTGAATTTAGCTTGCAGGGATACTTAGCTTCGAGCTCCCCACGGGGCCCGTGCGCTCCGTGTGGCCGCTCCTTTGAGTAAACGCTGTTAAACCCTGAACTTCTTGGGGGTTGTGAGAGGAAGCTTTGTAGGAACTGCCTCGAGACTGTAACTAGGCCCGCTGCAGGAACGGGGGAGACCTGTAACAGCAACCGGGTGGGCTTGCAACAGGAACTGCCTCTCTAACACATGCCTTGCACTCGCCTCTTGTTGTTCACTTGAGGGCTTAGGGTTTAGGGTTTAGAACATTGGTTAACCATACTTTTGCAGCAAACACTCTGGTTTGATTAGGATAACGCACGAAATCCTTAACAAAACACTTGGTTTCTCCAAAGGTTACGGGTTTTAGGGTTCAGGGTGGGCCAGGGTTTAGGGGTTTAGGGAGGAGAGGGGGGTTTGGGGAGTACAAATGGAGGAAAGTAGAACTTTCATGATACAGTATCAACTGATGTTGAATCGATGAGTTTTGAACGGGGGTGGATTTCTGGGGTTGGGGTTGAGAGTTCAGGCTTTAGGTAGGGGAGAGGGAGAGTAGAGGGAAGAGAGGGAGAGGAAGGGGACAGGAAGAGGCGAGGTAAGGTTTTTGTTTTAGGGTTTAGGGGCTAAGGGTTAGGGGCTTGAGGCTTAAAGGTCTGGGTTCGGGCTTCTAAAGCGTTTGTAAGGGCTATGGCTCAGGGTTTCTAAAGTGGTGTCAAGATTTGCAAAGTGCCTTCTGAGAATTTCTTACAAGGGCTTGTAAGGCCTTTAAAGGGCTTATAAAAGATTTACACGGGTGCCCTCGTCAGCCTCAGGGTTTTATGAGGGTTGTAAGGGCGTTTGAGGGCTTCAGAAGGCTCATAAGTGCTTATGAAAGGCTTGTAAGTGCTTCATAGGGGCTTTGAAGGGCTTTGTACTTTAACGCTATAACTTAAAATCTCAACCCAAAACCCGGACTCGGTTTTGTTGTCCGGCTGGTTTCTGTTGCAACTCCCACTGGTTACAGTTGCCAGCCCCAAACCAGTTCCATTTACATGTTCCCTCGATTCCTGTTCGTCCTGGCCAGTTCCCGAAATGTGGTTCCCGTTACGTTGCGTGCTGGTTCCTGTTACAACCCTCACCCTGCTCCTTTACTGAGAGCTCTGTCGCCGGGGTCTCGGGAACGGCCATGCCTGCCTAGATCGGGACCGGAAAGAGTCGGGACTGGCTTCATGTGCGGCCGGGAAGTTCCTGGACTGTTTCATAGGTCTGGTTTCCATGTAGGAAAAGAGCCTCTTGCTCTTATGTCGTCTGACTGTGGGAGCTTGTTGCTCAGTGACAATGACGCTCGCCACCCTGTTCAGTTGGAGAGCCCGAGCATATCCTACACCGGAGCGCTGGTTGGTGTTGAAGCTGACCGATCAGATCTTGGGACTGACAGGTGGGGGCATGTCTTTGAATTTTTGAGGGCTGTACCGCTGCTAGATGCTGCTAGTTGCATTGCTGCAGGAAGCCGCACATGCGATTCTATGCAGATTTGCAGGAAAAGTGTCCTGTCCTAAGATGCCTAGGGAGCCCTATGATGTAGATGGCTTCAGCAAGTTCTACGTACCCAAGTCTGAACACAGGTGCAAGATGCTGGAAGAAAGGTGTCAGCCAGAGGCCGCACAGTTGTGGCATCTACCACTCGAAGGTGCAAGTGCAAAGGTGAAACGCCTGCAAAAATTGCAAGGCAGTGTGATGACATATCGGTGAAGTGGGCAGGGGTGCTGCTGGCATCGTTTAGACAAGCGATTCGTTTCTGCTGATAATACCTTGTGAACAAGGCGGCGCCGCCCCCGCTCCGATCTGTGTGTGACGAATATCTCCCGAAGTGCCTGCGACTAAGACTTTGCCGGGTTCTGCGCGAAGCAGCAGGGCCTCGCCAAGCTGAGGTTTGGAGCTTTGGTCAGTGCACGCTAAAGAGCTGCATGGTGCTGCTGACTTTCTTGTTGTATTTGCTCAGAGTACTTATGTCACTCTTGGTAGTGTTATTCTTGCTGCATGCTCCTGGACGAGGCAGAAAAAGTTCGGGGCACGCAGAGCTCTGACTGTGGAGCAAAAGGGGTGGTCCAAAGCTGGCACCTTTCTCAGAACGTAGACTTAGGAAATTGTCAGAACACCGAGGCTTAGGAAACAACTGTGCAAGACCGCAGCGTTGATAAAAGCCCTGCAGCCTGAGCCTCGCGATGTTAATGATGTTACCAGCGCCCATGGTCTTGACTTGGTGTTCGATTGCTAAAGGCTCGAAGGGGTATGTAAGCAAGACAATTTGCTTCTGCAAACCGCTGCATATGTTTGCATCACACTTGCGGTGATGGAGTGGATCAAAGAGCGCAAGGGCAAGGGCTTGGTGAAGCCAAGGCAACCTGCAGGCAGGAGGCGGTTAAGCAGCAGTGCTTGTTGCTGGCTACGTTTACATTGATCAGCCCACAGGCCGCCTATGGCTCTTCTACTTCAACCGGGTTACAGTCGGAATCTCAGAGTTCCACATTCCGTGTCACTGCTTGATGTCAGGCCTTCGTTTATGTTGACAGACATGTCAAAGCACACGGAATTTTGGAAGGAGTGGCTTGTTATTTACGGATCGCACGCGAGACTCCGGAATGACATCCCCTTTGTCGAAACGTCTTTGCAGTTAAGGCCTTTTGTGCGTGAAGCCTTTTAATGATCGCGTATGCAGCAGGCAGACGTCCCGTCAGGCGAGCATGGGCCAGTGCCTGAGCGAGTCAAGCCTCGCTATGACGGAGTGCGACTGTGGCCGCATGTCTTCCTCTGCGAGGTCATCGAGGCTGCTCTCCTGATGGTGCCTTCCTCGGCTTGGCCCTGGCCGTAGCGCAGATCAGGGTCACGAGACCAGGCAGCTGCACTGCTCATCGTGGGAGCTGCACCGGAGGCGCAGCTGCCATACGCTGCCGTGCGCCCACTCTTTGCGCATGGTGCCGCCTTGACAGGCCCCGGCCTTCGTCCAGCCCACCTCCACTGGATCGATGTCTGCGAAGACACTCGTGCAGGCCTGTGTTCTCAAAGGTGTTCTCCGCGGGCCCCCGGGCCTTGCATCTCCAGACTCCAGACTGTTCTCGAAGCGTTCGTGCAGGGACAGAGCTGGTCACCTCAAGTTGCCTCGCACGGCTGCCGCGCATTGACCTAGACAGCGAGAAGGGTCCTTGCTGCCTTCATGGCAGGCCGACTCCTTCTGTAGGTGGGTCATCGTCCTGCGTGCCGGGACCCGAACTCCTGTCAGCCATGGCTAGACAGGCTCTTCATACTGAGCTCTGATGCATTCAGGTTTGGCGTGGCCGGCTTCAGCCTTTTGCTGACTTATGCCATGTTGCGCCGGCAGGCAAGCCAGCACCACAGCATTGGCCAGAGCTGGAGTCATTTTTGCACTCTGGAGCATTCGTGCAGGCGCAGGCTTCTACCGCTCGTGTCGCGCAGCCACGGGTTGTGCTGGCAGCCACGGCCCTGGATGCATTCTCTTAAGTTTGCTATATGCATGCTTTTCCTGGAAGTGTAGCACCTGTAGAAAGTGTCGATTTCGTGTCGCAACTTAGCACCGGAAGTTTCTTGACATACCCAGGCCGTGCCAAGCGAGATGACCTCGGTAAGGCACGACTTGAGCAGACGTGCCAGAGATCCAAAGTGGAGGGACGAATGACTGAGGTCACCGGCTCCTTGCAACTCTGAGCTAAAACCGGAGTTGCCCTTGCCCTCTCCATCAGTGCTTATCCTTAGCTCGCAGGGTGATCATGAGTCGGACTTCTGATTGTTTGCTGATCTGGTAGCAAGGTCTGCGCCAAAGAGACGCTGATGGACGAAGACGTTGTTTGCGAGGAGCGGTGGCAACTCGAGCTGGCAGCTCTTGCTCTTCCGTGCTTTGCGAGGAAGTGGCAAGCGTCAAGTCACCAGTGCCGGCATATTCGCCGACGCCAGTGGCAAGACTTGCTTCAGCTGCAATGAATGCCAGCAGCCCATCTTGCAGCCGGATTCATGGCAGCTGGCCATAATCTCAAGATACCAAGGCATCGACAGAATCAACCTCGGATGGGTGCGGCTCTAAACTTCCTGCAGTCCTCTTCCACTGTGGTCCGCCTTGCCTGATGCCACAGCTGAGGCCGTCGTCAGTCCCAGGGCGTCAGGCTGGAACTGCTTGGGAACAGAGACTGTTTGCAGCAGGTCCAGCAAGCGCTTTTGCTCTGTGCGGTGGAGGCTCGCTTCGTGGGTGGGGCACGCCGGACGGCGCGCCATTCCACAAGCCGCCGACCTTCGCCAAGGACGACGTGCCTGATGCTGAGAGGGTCTGAAGAGAACGGGTGCAGATGCTTCATACGATTTCATGCGCATCGCAGCATCGCAACCAGGCCGTGCCAGTGTGAAGCTGATATCCTCAGCAACTGCCATTCTCCCAGCTCAGAGGCCTGTCGTGGCACGGCCTGGGTTTCGGCTGCACTCAGGTGATCTCGCCGCCGCCATCCTTTGATGTCACCAGACTTCGCTTGAAGATTCAAACAGGCGAAAGTTTGCACTTTGTGCACTATGCCGGATCCACTGCCTTGAGTTTGTCATCCTAGAAATGAGATGTAGGGTGTTAGGATCTGGAGACGTCTTGATCGTCTCATCGTTTTTCTGCATGACTCTCGCCTGTTTTCGTTTCTGTTTGCCTCGCTTGGCTGAGCCCGACTTGGTCTGTAGCTGTGAAGGGTGGTGACCAGGCTTGAGCGTCACCTCGAGTGTGAGCTCGCAACGTGTTCGAGAATCCCGTACTCCCGCGGCAGGGATCCAAGTCGTTGCCAGTTCCACAGTAAGATCTCCGTGCTTGCAGTCGCTGTGTTCATAATCTCGTGCCAGGCCAACAAGGGCACTTGCATCAACACGGATTCCCGTCTTCAAGAAAAAGATCTAGGAGAACACATCCCAACATCAGGCCCGGCCTGCGAGTCTGCAGCATGACTGCGCTTCTTGTGCTTTCTTGTCTGCAGGAGATTACAACATCATTTGCTGACAGCTGGTGCATGCCTCGTCTCTATCAATCATGGCCATGTGGTCATATGTGGTCAGGAACCTTCGCTTCATCTTGTCCCTCTGTTCCTTGTCAATCACCAAGAGTGTCGGTACACGAGGTGCTCTGTGCAAGAGTTCCAGCGCAATGTCAGGGGCTTCAGCCACAGAATGCCACAAGATCCTAGCTAACGTAGATGTAGCAGATCAGGTTGGATAAAGGGAGGCTAATCGATGTGGCTGGAGCCCTTAACAGCTTTGCCAATGGCCAGCGGCGACGGGCCCTCAGTCGATGCTAGTCCCTCCGCGAGTCTGCCGCTTCTTCAAAGAACGCCGAGGAGTTTGCTGATGTACTCCCGGGAGCTTAGCAGCGGACCCAGCCTGGCTCGGGCGGTCAGCCCCAAATGGGCTGTCTTTGCCCAGGCTTGGGGCTACTGCGGTGGATCCCGAACTGCACAAAGGGCTCCCCAGATGGGTGCGCTGCCCAGATCTCTCGGAATCGAAAGTGTGTCGGCTGTCACAAGCGCGTGAGAGAGCCCTGCGTAGCCTTAAGGTTTACATGGACAGCTCTGCTGGAGATATGATTCGTTGATGCTGTGAGTAGAGGTGGGTGATGTTTCAGTATTTTTGCAGGTTTGTTGAGATTTGGGTTAAGAGTCAAAGCTCCGCACTGTTTCTACATGCCCGCCTACAAACTTTGACGGGCTTTGGACGAGCTCTGTCGTGAGAGACTGGCTGCTTGCTACCGGGCCCTACATCTCAAAGTTGCTGCTGCACAGCCTCCTGTTCGAGACTAAATTTTCGAAGCATGCCTGGCAAGAAGCCGCACTTTCAAGGCTTTTTGCGGGCATTTCGTTTCGCTGCATGCTCTGCGATCTAGCTGGCAAGGTTTCTTGGGGTCTGATCATCTCTGAAGAAGCTTTCTTTGTGAGCGCAGCGAAGCGAAGCTGGACGCTTCTGAGGGCTGCCACTGCAGACAGATCATAAGGAGAGTCACAGACTGCTGCGTCGGAAGAAGAAAAGACCACGATGCCTGTTGTGCCGATTCTGGAGATCTCAGACTATGCCGCCATGGCGTGGCGCAGGTCAGCATGCACGATTTGGCATCGGGCGAGGCGGGATGCTTTCAGCCAGGGCCCGCAGCCTTCGAACTTGTCTAAGAGGATGGTGCTTTTCTCGAAACGCTCCTGAGAAGGCGCCCGGATCCTCAGAGGTCGCGTTGGAGTTTTGGCTTCGAGCTTGGGATCAGCAAAGCAACGTCACGGGAAGCAGAGGTCCCAGCGTCTTCATCAAGGTTTGTGAGAAAGCGCTTCAGGAGCCGCAGAGTCAGCTGGATTTCGCCGCAGAGTCAGTGCCTGTCTCGTGCGGCTGCCAGGAAATGTGCAAGGAGCTTGAGCTGCAGAAGGATCCCTCGCGGAAGGTTGCCGCTAGGGGACATAATAAATAAGGCGTGAGGGGACATGCAGAGACTAGTGTTTCTTGCTCCTGGACCCTTTGTGTGCTTCAGGCTCCTATTCAGCAGTTAAACATTGCAGTCAACACCAACTTGGACGGTCACGTGCTTAGATGGAGCGTTTGACATGGTCTGACCTTTCGGATATGGACGTGCTTTTGATGATTTCGGCAAGCTCCCTTCGTGAACGTTGACATACAGACATACAGTAGGTTCCCAAACCATGCCTCTAAGTTGTGGTAGTCCTCCATGTTCGTGCGTCGAGGCACGGCTGGCACACAGAAGCCCAAACTGCTGGTTCCTGAGAGCCACAGTCCGATGCAAGACTTTTTGTGTTTGTTCTGTCATGTGCAAGGATCCGCGAGCTCAGACATGACCAGGTTCGGGCAAGCTCCACGAAGCCACTCATGCTGTGTTGGTTTGCATATGTTTGCATGTTCCCAGCAACGGGACGGTAGATGTGAGATCAATTTCGCTACTGTACAAAAAGATTGGTAAGTTTGAGTTTCGTATTGGCGCATCCGTGAAGATGCAGGCATGAAACAGGCAAGTAAAAGCAGATGTCCTCGGTGATGTGAAGCGTTCGAGCAATCCTTCGGAATTCTCGTGGGTGAAGCATGGAGGGCTCCCTGTCTCGAAGTTTCAGGCCAAGGTTTGAAAGCATCTTGTACTCTCAGTTCGAAGCAGGTGGAGAAGCTCGTAGTCATTCAGGGCATCTGCACGGCTGTTCGAACTCCGAGGAGCAAGGCGTGGAGTTTCACGTTGCATGCGCTTGCAGCAAAGGCCTGAAAACAGCCTCAGGTCCGAAGGGTGGTCTTGAGGTGCACCAACTGTGAGAATGTCGAGGAGGCCCTAGCAACCTGAAACAGTTCAAGCTCCAGCTACCAGTCCTGTAAGGTCTATATCGAAGGCGGCTTCACAGCTGCCCACATTCCTGCGGCTTGCAAAAGGAACGCTCTCCGTGCAGGGCGAAGCGCTCAGAAGCTGCTGTTCAATAGCCCAACATGTACTATCGTCGTCACCGGCACTTCTGCCGGGCTTTGGTTTCCTCGCAGACAGAACCAAAAATGCTTGTATAGTGCTATGATCAGCAACACTCCGCGATGTGTCTCTTGAAGCCATGAGATGCTGATCCTCATTTACTTTGACTGCATGTGGTTATCTGGAAGCGCAAACTAAAGTGATGATGTGACTAGGAAGGTAAAGAGCAAAGTAGTGCTCTGGATGAGGAATCTGGAAAGATGCCCGCCCAACTCCTTCGCAGTGCCGGCATGTTTTCGACGAAACTTGCGCCGGCTCTGAGCTTTCTGTCGCTGGCTTCGAAGGTGGCTGACGCTTCGCTCAGCGAGTACGCCGCAGATCAGAGGGTGCGTTTGCAGGAGCTCCCCGAACACGTGAGCCTCTTGTGCACTGCGTCCTCAGTACTGGATCAGTGCGGCACAGAGGGCGATGACAGGTACCCGTGGGAGAGATGCCCCGATCCATCGATCTCTGTGCGCAGATGTGCGCTGCAGTGTCAGAGCTACAACTGCACGGCAACATTCGTAGCTGACTCCTGACGATCGGGCATGTCAATCTCAGTCTCTAGCTTGGGCTGTCTTCATGTGCAAAGGTTAAGGGTAGCACAGTGCAGAGGCACAGGAGAAGGGACATCACAGCCGTGTAGCGGAACGAGTGAGGGATGAACACATCATCTGTGCCATTCTGTGCCTGTAGCTGCTCATGCTGCTCTTGAAAGGACGCGTATCCAAAGTCCCGGAGCCAAAGGTACGATGTGGACTTGTGCACACCTGGAACACGTCTCACTTGCGTCGGCCCCCTCCTGAGAGCTGCTCTTGGCATGCCCCCCATAGAAAGGCAAGGAATTTCCTCCCAGTTGCTTTTTTTTTTTCAGGTGTCTTCAACGCCTCGGAGAAGGCTGCAGGAGACAAGCTCACCAGGGGCAGGACTGCCGCAGTTCAGCCTGAGTAGAGTGAGAGAATGTGAGCAAGAACAGCTTCTGCAGGAATCAGGGCACCAACACGGTGAAGTACTCCTATGTCCAGGCATTGCTGTTCCTGTTTCGAAATCCAGAGTTGCTGCACAACCGGCACAGCCGTGCATGCCCCGATCACAGCAGGTCGCCTTGACCTGTTGCTGGTCTAATACTGTTGCATCTTTTCCCTTGTTGCAGTGGCACTGTTCCGTGGAAAGTCACCAAGATTATCAACCAGTTCTTTCAATCTCTCCAGTCACGCTCCGGGCCGCCTTTATGCTAGTGATGCAGGTCTTGGGTTTGCAGCGGGCCCAAGGCAATCGTTCCCAGGACACCGGGCTGACATCATCGCATGACTTGCCGCCTTCCACTGCCAGAAAGTCAGGGAGCCTTGGAGATCAGTGCGGACGAAGAGGAGCGTTTCGAGCAGCTTGCCAAGGACCCGTCTTGCGAGCTTCATCTACTTGTGCTGATCGTTGCGGAATGTGCAGACCAGGATCCCGGCATCAGGGAGAAGATCTTCCAGCATACTTCTTGGTGTGTGTGTGTGTGTGCGTCATGTGTGTTTGTGTTTGCTTTAATATGTTGGTGTGGCTGGTGATTCTAGCTGCTTGCTCCAAACGTGATCATGTCGACAGCATCGGTGCTTCTCGCATGCAATTTTTTTCAAGAGACTGGGGAGGTGCAATAAGCATCTAGCTTGTTTTTGTTTCAATTTGAGATTTTTCGTTGTTTGCTCTGCTGGTTGGCTTGTGGCTTCTTGGCTTCTGGCTCCAGCCTCATTCGGCTTCCTAGCTTTTGCTGCTCGTGTTGCGGTTTCTTGGCTACCGTAAAAAAATCCCAGACCACCGCAACTCTGAACCCCTAAACCCTGAACCGCAAACCCTAAATCCTAAACCCTACCCCCCCAAAAAACCCTAAACCCAAAAGCACCTTAAAGCTTTGAAATCTCCTCAGCCCTACACCCTAAACGCTAGCACCGCTAAACTACAAATCTTAAACCATAAACACTCTAAACCCTTAGCCCAGAACAGAAACACCTACTACAACAAAAGCAAAAGCATCGTAAATCACCGAAGAGATATTTAGTGTGGCGCTTCAAGATACTCGTGTCCCTGGTGCAACAGAATGCCGCTTGAGGTCCATTGCTCCTGCCATTTGTGCGACTGAGAAGGATGTGTTGCAACATGTTGCAACGATGTGGAATTTGCATGCATTCAAAACCTTGGTACTGTGCATGCCCGACTGCTAGGACGTTGTGAACGATGTGAAGAGGGCCGTTGCTTGCAGTGGCCTTGGTGCATTGCAGGAAAGCGAGAAAGGTATGCCCAAAGTGGAGCCATCAACGCCTCGAGTGGAGGCTTGCTCTTCGGCGGCTCCAGGAAGTTCCTGCCCAGCGGCAATCGCATCCGAGGCGGATTGGGTGCCGGAGGGCATATCCCTGTTGTGTCTCTCACGTAGAGGTGACATCAACGTCTTGCTTCTTGGAGATCCTGGTACGGCAAAAAGTCAGGTGCGACAAGCATGCACAGGGATGTACAGGGTTGAAGAGAAGTCTCGCTACCTCGGGCATGGTGCAGATCCTGAAGTTCGGTGAGAAAGCAGCGCCGATTTCAGTGTTCGGTGCTGAGCCGCTTGCTAATTCTGTCAGAGTGGTTTCATACAGTCATCACATACGGAGGTACACGAGCGGAAAAGGAAGCAGCGCTGCGGGTCTGACGGTCATCGTCTCGGAGTTCACAACTGCACGGATCCAGCAGCAGTTCTTTGCAGATAAGGCGGCAATCGTCAAGGAGAAGAACGGTTTTGCTCTTGAAGGTACAATTCCCCTGACGGTTCTGAGCATGCCTTGGCAGTGGCGTCCGAAAAGTTCCGGCTTGCCAACACAGTACGGAGGTGGAGCTATGGTTCTAGCCGACGGCGGCATTGCCTTGACCTGACCCGGTCATGGCATTCAAAGTTTTGAAGTGAATGTCGTCGTCGCTAGCTGCTAACATTTTGCGGACCAGGTGTGCATCGATGAGTTCGACAAGATGGATGCCAAAGATCGTGTGGCCATCCACGAGGACGGAGAATGTTTCTACATGCAGCATGTGCAGGGCAGCTGGAACTGCCGATTCCTTGAGGCCATGGAGCAGCAAACCATCTCAATATCCAAAGCTGGCATCACCACGATGCCGTAGACTCACAGAGCGGAGGCGTCCGCTTCTGCCGACTTGGACTCTCGTGCAACTGAGGCTCAACACTCGTTGCAGGTCCCCTGCTGCAACTCAGAGATGACCACCAGGGGATTGTTTGGCTTTCACTTTTCACCTTTCACTTCCATGCCCTGCGCAGTGTCCTCGCCGCTGCCAATCCGCGCTTTGGTTCCTATGATGAGATGGCAGGTGCGGCTGACCAGGCCTGAACGTCTGGCCACTTTCATCAGACACTGTAGAGCAGGGCCTTCGTGCGCTTCGAAATCTTGCATGCTTTGCAGATGGACTTCGAAACCACAATCCTGACCCGATTTGACATGATGTTCTTGGTCAAGGCCATACCTCAGTCTCCAGCACGCTGTTAGGCTTTTCTTATTTGTCGCACCTGAGCACCGGCACCCGGCGCTGCAGGATGTCAGGGATGAGGAAAAGGACTACACACTCGCTATGCACCTTATCGGCTTGCACAACGAAGGCAAGCAGGAGGACCCCAGACGTCACTTCCTTCATATTTACTGATTTTGGTGTTGACTCTGCGGAAGGAGAGCAAGGCGCCCTTCTCCGTGCAAGACCTGAGGAAGTGCGCCGAAGGACGACACAGCGGCTCAGGCTGCTTAGGAGTGCTTTGTCAGGTACATAGCATATTGCCGCAGCAAGTGCAGCCCACGACTGAAGCCTGAGGCTAAAGAGGCCCCACAGCCTCCAAATTCCTTTGAGCTTTACCAGCGCTGCTTCTTAATGAGCAGACTGGCAGGTTCTCATCAACCATTACCTGACCATTCGCAAAAAGATCAAGGAAGACAGTCAGGCTGCCACGGCTCCGTTCCGGAAGTCTGGAGACCTCTCTTCACATTCAGGGCCCATGCTTCGGGGCAGGATGGTGCCGCAAGAGAGTCTCAACCACGGATGGCCCAGTCTAGGACATGTTTATGTTTGTGCGGATTCTTGAGGAACTTGTTGCAGTAGTTTCCTCTGTCTGGCAACTCCGAGTCGGGAGTCTTGAAGTACAGGGTTTCGGCTGGCTCTGGTTTCAGGGTTTGCGTTGTCAGTTTTCTCGCTTGGCATCTTTCAGGGTGCAGGTTCTCGGTAGTACAGCTCGGGGTCATGTTAGTGGAACTGCAAGTGACGCACTCGTACGCACAAGCCAGAGCCAGCAGGCCTGTCTACAGTGCGTCTAGAAGCCAGAGCCACTGAACCCGGTCTTGATGCAGTTTGCTCACAGGCTGTGGTGCCCATCACTGTCAGGCACATGCGCCCGGAGTCTTCCAAGTCCCAAGATGCCTTTTTGCACGCTCTCGCCAAGGCAGCTGGAAGCAATCGTGCGAATCTCGGAGAGCCTCTTGTCAGCACACAGGGCCATACAGAGCCTGCCAGGTCGTTGGTCCAACTGAGCCAGCATTTGCCCCAAAAGTCACCCTCGCTTGCACAGGCCTAGCAAAGATGGAGCTGCAGCAGGACTGCACAACGACGGGCATGTCGCATGGATAGTCTGCGAGGCCTCATGGTGTCATAAAATCAATGTGATGAAAGCTTGATTGCTGTTGATTTCAAAGCTGCATTTCGGGTGTGGACAGAGCGAAACTGTTGCAGCCACATCCCATTCAGCTGCAAGGATGCTGATATCGGTCATGTCGAAGAAGCGTTGCGGATGTTCACCGTCTGCCCGGCCTGTGAATGCAAAGAGACCACGCAAAGACTTCTGCAGAATTCGGTTCAGAATCATCTTTCGCAGTTCCAGCAAGGTGTCCACCCTGGACTCGGCGAATCCTGACGGGCAGCGGCAAGCAGGCTCAGGACTCAGCGAGAAAGAGATGTGGAAGTTCAATCTGTGATTGACATGGGCTAAGGATTTGATACCATGAACGAGGACGACATGAAGGATGGGTGATGCTAGACAGGTCAAAGATTGATCAGTAGTCAGTAGCTTCGACCACACCGTACCGAACTTTACTTGGTGAGGCATCGGAACACTGCGTGAAACGACAAGTGCTCGAACACTTCCTTAGAGAGTAACAGCTGGATGCACTGGAGGAGTTCAAGGCACCTGCTTGCTAAGATGTCAACTGAACAGCCTGTTCGTGTCGTGCCACCTCCCCAACCCAATCCTGTGACACTTCCTTGTCGTCGCGCAGTTGCTGTTGCGAAAGCTTGCCAACTGTTTGTTCTTTTCGGTGGTGGTTATGATGGCAACTTGCACAGCATGCCGTCACTTTCGTTTGACTCTCGTGATGGGTGCAGGCATTGCAAGAAGCTGAAGAGGCAGTGGCCCCAGATCGGAAATCTCTTCACAACCTCTGAATGCTGCAAGATGATGGCTTGCCTGCCGTGAGGTCATTCGTCGACTAATCCCTCATGGAGGCTGCAGCGATGCCTTTCGTGTGTCAGACTTCTCGGCCCGCTGCAGTCGGGAATTGTCCGAAGACTTTGGACGGCAGCCTACGGCTCTCGCCACATCCTCCTCTATGGTAGAACCAAGCAACAGAGCCTTGATTGGTTCTAACATGCGGCAACCTAAGCAATGCAGCAAGATAGCCACACCCCTAGCCTCCTCGCGTTTGCCCACGTGTTGGTCAGCTCCCTGAATGGCCGGGCCGTGCTATGGTCGCTGAAATAGATGGTGCTGGATGGCCTCGTATAGCATCAGTGCTGATACGATGCAAGATGATGCTTGGCATTGCCTTAGTTTGCTGAAGCACCATTGCTGTTCCTGTATAAGCAAGTTCATGCTTCTTTTCTGATTTGTGCAGTTGCTGGAAGGCTAACACCATCTACTGCTGTGAGAGCCGCCTGCCTGCGATGTGGTTGCCCATTGCTCGTGATGCAACTCACTGTTTTTATGTTTTGCATTTTTTCTCGTAGTGGGAGAAGCCTGACCTGTCGTTGTGACATAACTACCCTGAACGGCTCAGGAAATGCTGTGGCAGCGAAGCTGGAGTGCGGAAATTGCCTCCCTGCGTCACGTGATCTCGAAAAACAGCAGCCTTCTGTTTCTGGATCCTTGGACATGCTCAGTAGTCTTTTGTCCTTCCTATTCCTCTGTGATTTGGATAGTCAGCTCCATGAATCATGGTACCTCAGGTGCTCTTAGCAGCACAGTTCGGCTTGCAGCCGCTGCTGTCGAAGCAGCTGCTGCCACGGGGGCATCTTCCGCAAGTCTTCCTGTTGAGCTCCAACTTCTCCAGGATACTTATATCTCTTTTCATCTTGATGCTGCCAGGCTCAATGGGTGGTAGCCTTTTCTCATCGCAACAAGAACCGCCCGCGGGGCCAGGTTGTTGTCCAGGAATGCAAGCTGGGAGCGATAGGAATTAACCAAGAGTGTGCATACACACCGCAAGATACACTGGCCCATTTCCAGTGAACTCGATTGGCTGAGCAGCAGCAGGGCACACTGGCACTTGGGCGTCAGGCACTTCCAGCCGCAAAACAGCATTCACGATTCACAGAAGGCACAACAAATAAGCATGATAAAAAAAACCTCATGTGTATATGATGTATCTGCTCGCTCGCTCACTCGCTCGCTCGCTCTCGCTCCGGTGCAACTTGCCTCAGTTGGCGTACCGGACTGGACATGGCGCATGCCACGGGGAATAAGTTCTCGGTTGCAGCCTCCGCGTTTGGGAGTGAGCCGATGTGAGCCGGACTTTGCGGGTGGCCGGAAATTTGGAGGTTGGTTTGTGTGGAAGATGTTGCGTGGGCAAAGTCCAGCATTTGCAAAGGTTTGGCAACACGCGAGATGAAATTGCAGATATCGTCCGCGCCTGGAGTCTGCGTGCCTGGATAGCAAAATCAGCAATGCAGATTGCCAAGATGCTTTTATTTCTTGGCTGTGGCATCTACTGCAGCGGACGGTAGCGGCTTGTGTCAGAACGGATGCTGCTGAACTTGCTGCTCTCATGACGAGACCCAGTAAGCCAAGGCGAGTCCATCTTGAAAGCGGGTATACCGGCGATAATGTTTTCGATGCAGGGCTGGCTGTTGCAGGTCGGCCTTGAACTTAGAGACTCTTTGCTTCACAGCACCAAGGAGACGGCGCGTGGCAAGCTCGACTGCTAGATTTGTCCGAGTGGACTGAGGCCAAGCGCATATCGATTCTCTCAGCTTCAATCTTCTCAACCAGACGAAGACTCTGTCAGCAGCGCTGATGTGTTACTTGCTTCTAGGCCTACGGGCTTGCAGACTGCCTGTGAACTTTCTGCTTGGACCGGCTTGAAACACCTGGTGCACTGACCCTGAAGGCAGGCGACAGTCCCGAATTCAGTGCTTCGCTTTGGTGCTTCTCTTTGTCTCAGCACTGCTGCTGGGGACGAAGGGATGTTCCAGCTTCAAGAAGCACTCTTTAAGGCAGCCGCCATTTCGCAGACAGTTCTGTCAAACATGAGCCAGAGCTTTGGTAGCTTAGTGAGCCTTGCAGGGACGGCAGCGCCAGCGATGCCTTCGTCTTTGGAGTTCTTCCCGTGGTCGTTGCAGCTTTGAGCTCTGGGCTGACAGCTGCCATGACACAAAGGACGCTTAAGGGCTCCGCTGGGCGGACTCTTGGCTGCACCGGATTGGAAGACTTGCCGTGTATTGCAATTAGTCACATCTGTAGCAAGGAACAGCTGGCTCTATTCCATGGAGCTTTCGATGTGCCTTATCCGAGAAAGCTTCGAGACACCGCTGTAGGGTTCCAGTCGTCTCTTGAGTGCAGGTGGGGCTCTGCCTGCCTGATCGCAGGTGCCAGGGGAGGGAGCGGTTCTTTCAGAGCAGTCCAGGCTCAGCACAATAATGGCGTTCACAGCAGTCGGCCATTCACATACACTGCCTTGTACCGCATGTTAAGCAGGCTTCGTTCCCTGGGGTCTTTCGCCGACAAAAGTTCTTAGGTCGTGTCTTTTGCAGACACATCCTGAACCCCGCATTTCTTCAACCTGCCTGGGATTTTGCTTATTTTACCATGGTTCCGAGACTGCCCAGGCGCAAGTAATTCACAAGACGTCTCAATGAGCTCTTCTGCGGTTTCCCTGTGGAAACGAAAGCGCCGCAGTTCTGAAGGCGTCTGCATGAGCGACAAGCGTGGGCGGCTTCTGCAGGGACCCTACCAGGCCTGACGCTGGCGTAGTCGTCGCGACATGTCCACGAGTGGCTCGGCTCCTGGTCAGGGCTGGTCTGCGCTGAGTGTCGTGCCCGTCCTAACGCAGGTGCTGCACTTAACCTGGCAGTAGAGAGAAGCACGGCCGTTGGATCCGAAGGCCGTGGGAGGCATACTGGTCGGGCTGGTCACAAAGTCGAGTTCTTGGCATTAGGATTTGTTGCTGTTTTGGGAGCGCGACTCGTCCATGCCTCAGAGAGTGTTTCCTTAGGTACTCTGACTCGGTGAAGAAAGGCTTTGCGCTTGTCTCTGGCATCGTGCTAAGGCTGCACTAGGCTCTCAGTTTTCGATGTGGAGTCTACTTCTGCTGTCAACCCAGCCCCAAATCCGTATGAACCACTGAAGTAGCTGGGCACTGGCCGTGGGCCAGCTTGTTCGGCTGTTTGCATGCAGAGTATCAGTTTACATGTTTACTGAAGAGAGAGTGAGAGAGAGACAGGCAGAGTTTTTCGGGGGAACAAGGCAAGAGTATGAAGTGTTGTCAGAGCGGCAATAAGCTGCCGGAACGCACACAGTGCACGCAGCAGCCCCAGGAGACGAGGCCGGGGGTACCAAATTTAGTTCAGGTAAATGGTTTGGGGGACTCAGTTGCAGCCCACCGGCCTCATCTCGTTTCAGTGCTTGCCGGACAGAAGGACCAGTGCGCGCTCGCGCGCGGGGGGAGGTCTTGCGCGCTTTCCCTTGTCTGACAGACAGAGTGAGACTGCAAGGGGGGCTTGACCTGGATTCCGTGTTTCTGACAGTCTATACTGAAGATGCCGGGGAAGCTGCCCCGAGGGGACAATTCCCTCGGGTTCGGGGTCGAGCAAGGACCTGGTTGTTCGAGCGAAGAGTGAACACGGTTGCACGCGCGCGGGCGCGCGGGCGGGAGTGTGGCCGTAAAGCAAGCAAGCAAGAGAAAGAGAGAGAGACGGTGCTGCATAGAATGTCATGGCTTGTGTAGCTTGTTATCATGTAACCTGATGCCTGACCTGTTTTGCTGGAAGAACGATGCGGCAGCCGGTTGTGTACAAGCTATATAGTGCGAGCTGACGCCACAGAGCTGGTGTGAGCCCGATGAGGCCTGGGGGTTGCTTTAAGCTAGGTAGGGGGTATCACAGTTCTCGAACAGGGCCTCATCGGGGTTAGAAGCAGTACCTCAGACTTTGGGGGACAGTGCGCGCGCGTGCAGGGGTGAGCGTCGCTTGCCCTTTGTCTGTGTGGAAGAAGAGGGAGAGCTAAATTGGCGCCGCTCCACTTGATCCGGGGAAGAACCCCGCTGGAGAGACTTATGCCTTGATGGTATGCCCTAACGTTCCTTTCTTCGTTCCGGTTGCTGTCTCCCTTGTGGTCCTGCATTTTCACGACAGAAGTCGTTCGTTGCCTCGGTGGAGATCGCCGCTTCAATAAGTCGCTCGGCAACAGTCGGGGGCGCTAACACGCGGGGCTAGCCCTGGCGAAAGAAAAGAGGCGCTTGTGTTGGATGTCACTTCTGGTTGCACTTTTCTCGCTTTCGGTTTTCGGCCCGTTTGGTGCAGCGAAGATCAGGTGATTAAGTTTTGCTTGACTGGTTTGCTTCGCGAGCGTTCCCCGCAGCTAGGCTTGGTTGCCCGAAAGAAGGAAAGAAGCAAGGACGCAGGAGCTAAGAACAGAAGCGAAAGGAGGAAGGAAGGCAATCAGGGACACGCATGGCAGTGCCTCAGATCGTAAGACCCTCCGAGTCTGCCAAGGTCGACTGAGGCTAGTTGAGGCTGTGTCCTGCAATCACAGAACCCACAAATTCTGTAAAAGGGCATGCCCTCAAACCACTCAGCCCTACTTGCACACAGTCGGTGCCGGCTGGTACAGTTTTGACAACGACAAAACGAAGAGTAAAAGCCAGAACAAGATACCAGAAAGATCTCAACAAACCTTCGTTCAGAAGCCGAGTAAGGCTTTTTGGAGCGTCTGTCTTAGTTGAGGGCTTATCCTTGCAAAGCCTTGAAGAAACAGTGAGTCTCTGAGTCGCTGATGAAGACACCACTGTGACTAGCTACGCCTATAGCTACAGCCGTTTTCAATGGGCCCCAGTACCGGCTAAAAGCCTTGTGCAATAAGTGCCCAATCCACAAAAGTGCTTGAACTGACCTCAAGACTCCACAAGCGGCAGCGCCCTGCCCAAAACATCACAACTCCATGCGATCTTCGACCTGACGCCCCCGAAGTCATTCTCCGCTGGCTGTTCGTCGTGCTTTCAAACCTGTTGTTCGCGGGTTCCAAAACTGGCTTGAAACATATTGGGGAAGGGATATAGACCAAAGCATTGCTTTCGGTGACAGCTTTGCGGTGTTGCCAGTCAAAAAAAGATAAAAGAAAGGTGGGTCACGGGGTTTTGGTCGCCTCGTTTGATTGAGAATGTATTCGTCGTTGTGCGAGTGCCGGTGAACGTGGCAATTGCTTCGATAGAGAAGAGCTTGCCATCCCTGCTCTGCCCGTTCGCAAGTCCCTGCATCTGCCAGAGTCTGGCCAGGTCTGGGGGGGTCCTCACTGGGCAGGGCGACTGTCAGGCTGTAAGTCAGGATGTCGAGTTTGGTGGATTGGCTATCATGGGTGGTTGTCTCCGTCTTTCGCCGGTGGGTTGTCAAGCGTGTTCGGATAGTATGGGAAGAATGTTGGGGCTGCTCTGCGCCGTCGAGCCGTCCACATGTGGAAGCAACCTGTCAAGGTTGCAAAAGAAAGTGTCAACATACCCTAAAACTTGGCAGCTTACGACATTCGGAGATCGTATAGCAAGTCGGCAGCACTTTCGCCGTGTTGATGGTGCATCTCTCCGCCCCGCCAGAAGGATGCTACGACACTAAGTCGCATCCATTACCAGCTCGTGCCTGCCAACCACATGCCTGGCAAGGTTCTGACAACCTTGGCACAGTGTGTTTTGGAGGATGCCCCACTGACCTCATGGCACCTGACAGCAGCGGATGCTTGGAAAGCACTAGGCCGGAACGCTGGCACTTCCATGCCTAATGATATTTGCAAATCGAGGTTTTGGTTGCTATTTCGACGGTGCTGCATGCGCAGTATCCACCAGTGCAGCTACAACGGGCGAAAACGATGTGACAGCAAGGGGGTTGGGAAATTTGGAGGTTGACAAGCAGCCATCCGAAAACAGTAACTGCTTGGAGTATACAGGGCACGTTAAGCTGAGGGACCCGGGTGGTTCGTAGGTACATAGTTACACGTCACGTTGCGAAGTCGCTTGCCTTTGAGCGGCACACGAAGGTGAGTTGCTTACTTGGCTTTGCCACTGCAACAAGCCTGGACGACTTTAAGACTTGCGAAAGTGTGAGCATGAAGGAGATCAATCTCTTCTGTTCGCACTCTTCACAAGCTATCGTGTGATGTCCATTAGTCAAGGTGCGTCTGGCTGCTCCTGACATGTTTTCCTGCCTGAGCTCTCGTGTCGTACTCTCGATTAGCCGCAAACTTCCCAGTTTCAGCCCGAGCAGGCAGGCAGACATGCCCTCAGTTGAGCAATGTTTGGCTGCCTTGATGTTATTTGACTTTGGACTGCCTGCTTCTGCAGACGTTCAAGGAGCAGCCTCAGCAAAAGCTGCTAGAGTAGCGTCGTGGGTGCCTGCTGCAGCTTTGGTCTGCAAGAACCCACAAATGTTCCGCAGCTGCTACATAGATGGGGAGACACGGGGGAGACAGCAGTTGCCGCTTGAACTTCAGTGCAACAGTTGGTTTTCGGAATCTCTGTTTCCACCCGAATCCTCTGATTGAACTTATGGAATGTATCAACCGTAGCATATCGTAGCAGAACTCAAACGAGTTCTGACTTCACGTGGTGAATCTGACAAACAGCAGTCTCCCATGTGATAAACAAAGAAGCGTGTCGTTGCAGCACATAGCACACTTGCTGGCTTTGAGATGATGCTTCAAGGGTCAGGACCAATTGCATTACGATGCCTGTGGACAGGTCGGAAAAACAAGTTCACCCTGGAGAAGGATATGGTGTCTCGTGGAGAAGTACCAGAGCAGGTGGACGGAATCTCAGAATGTGTGGCGGAAGCCAAGAGATATGATGGTGTTCAGCGTTGATTCTTTGTTGGAGCATTCGCTTCAGGCTCGTCGGGCCATCCACATCATGACCCGGCGCGGAGAACTGGAGGTGTGCGGAATCGGAGCGAGATCTCTCCTTGAACCTTTTCCGGGCAAACGACTGTACCTACGCAGGAGAAAGCTCACAACACTCTTCGAAGAGCGTGAGGCCACACTGCACCACGTGCTGAAGACCCTGTTTGGTGCTGAAGGCCCTGTTGTTCAGGCCTTGTTTTTTTGCTGCCAGCGCTGGCAGTCCTGGGCACACCAGAAGTCCTGTGCTCAGATGCTTACGCTGCAGGTTGCGTGCAGGCCATGTGCTCAGACGAGGCCTGGCCTCCGTGATATCTCGGGTGGGTTTCCTGAGAGTCCTGCCATGGCTGCAAAGTGAAGGCAAATGTGTCTCTTTGTTTTATTTTGGGGCATATGCGCAGAAGAGACTGGTCTGTCCATGGCTAGTTCGACCCTGATTCGATGATTGATCAGCTTTGTTGTTTCTCAAGTGAGCAGTCTCTTCGTTCGCAGAGATGTTTTGTTTCTGGCGGGCTTGACATTCTGCGGAATGCATCCTGCCAACCGGGCCAGCCCAAAGATAACTTAGACTTCTGAGACAAGTGGGCTTGCTGCTACATTGGAGCCACATAAGCGGCAAAGACAAGTCCTGGGAATACCTGCTTGCTCGGAGCTCATTCCGGATCGCTCTCACCGCATCGGAATGGCCACTCGCAAGCACTTCGCAAAATGTTTCGAGCACCCTTCGGTGCGTGCAGGTGTCGACAGCCGGAGTCAGGGCTGAGTTGATTGGCCTGCAGCTTCTGGCTACCAGTTTCGGTTGTGTGCGCTGCTCATAACCAGGGGGCACAGGCCCAAGCCCGCTGTTGCCCTTGGCCTTCTCATGTCAAGTGCAACCTTGGGCCTGGAGGTGAATGGCCAATGAAGAGCTGCTGCAGAAATTGCGCCGGCAGTCGCTTTCTCGGGCTCAGAACCCGGAAGAAACGTGGTGACATTGGCTGGTTTCAGGCGGCTTCGCATGGGCGAAGATCCGTTGCCGTTGCCTGTAGGGACCCGCCCGCTAGACCAGACAAAGGAGAGGTGAGGCCCTTGGTCCGCTTGTTGCTTAGCTGAGCTCAGCCCTGACTCATGTGAGGCGCAGCCGACGTGATGAGCTGGTCTCGCTGGAGAAGAAGGGCGAGGACGGGCGGGGCCGCTCTGCCGCTGTGCTCGTGCGATGCAACGCCTGGCAGCGTTTCAGGTGATGCAGCGGGCTCGAAAGTTTCAGAGCACCGACAGTCCCGGGCCGGAAGCCTTGAGCAAAGCCTTGAAAGGCGTCAGTCGTTCGGGCCTTTCGCCTGCAGGCCATCCCCGTCTCGAACACCTGGACGCATCAACCTTGATTGCCTGAAGCTCAAAGATGTGAATCCAAACCTGTGCAGCTGGAGCTTGCGGTAACGGTCAGTGGCTTTTGCAGGAGCCTAGCGGAATGGCTTTGTGATTCGAGTCCAGTGCCCTCCGTGCGGGATCGGGGAACACGTGCGACTGTCCCCCACCCCACGCCAGCACACTCACCCTCCCATGCTCTGTGACTTTGTTTCACTTCTTGTGACCAAATCCTGCGTTGCCATGGCTGCTATGAAATCCTACTGGGAATATGCGCGACTGCAGCAGTCGCGGAGAGAAAGGCTGCAAGGAAATGGGTTTCCGGTCTTCGAGTCCTTCAAACGCTCAACCTGTGAGCTTGAGACGTCTGAGACGGCTGAGGTTGGGAGCAGCGATGCCGTGAGAAGGGCTCTTCGCAGGCTTGCGGAGCGGCAGCAGCTCTAGCGGACTCGTCTGCTCCTTCGTGGCAGGAGATGGAGGCCGAGGTGCCATTCACGGGCTTGGAGCCCATCGAGGAAAAGCCGCAGCCTGGCCCTGGCCATCCGGCCGAGGAGGCGGAGGGCGCCGAGGGCGCCCCGGCGATGCCTGCAACGGATCCCGGCTCTACGGTCTGTACGGAGCAAGCTTCGCGCGGCACAGAGATGCCCCCTGACGATCTGCAGGAGATGTGGATTGCACTTGGGCTGTGGTTCCTTGAGACTTGCAGGACTTAAGTGGTTAGACTGCATAGAGAAGACCTGCATTGCAGGAGACCGCCTTGCTGGAAGGGGAAACCAATAGCAAGAAGGCACTTGCTGTTGATGCAGTGTCGACAAGCAGCCCACGCGGCCAGCCAGGGAGGGAATGCTGGGGAGAAGCAGAAGAATAAGAAGAATAGTAGCAACAAGAGGAAGCAGCACAGATGGAAACCTGTGGTGACAGAGAACAAGACTAAACTCAAGGGCAGAAGAAGAACTGAAGAGAGGAACTTGTTCACCTCGGCGGTCGCCTTTCACGAGCTTCGCATCGTGCCGGCAAGGGACCTAGGACCTAGGTATGCGCCTCCACACAGAAGGGCTATGCTCGCAAAGGGCGCAGAGAGGGAAAGGGGCCCACGAATCACAGCAGCCCAGTAGGGCCTCTCTCCTTCTGCGGAGTGAGGCAGGGAGAAAGAAAAGAAGCGGAACAAGAAGAAGCAAGTGACAGAGGGGGAATACAAGATCACAATAATGGGAGTGAGAGCAAGCAAGGCAAGTGAGCAAGCAATCAAGAGAGTGAGCAAAGACAAAGTTATACAAAGGTGAACATGGAGGAGCATAAGAGCAGCAGAACCAAAGCCAGCAACGTCAGTAGTGACATGCATGCAGAGTGAAAAGGGACAGGCACCAGAGTGGAACTTTTGGTATTTATGTGGTTGCTTGTCTTACAAGTAGCAGTAAGACTTCCTCTTCTTGCAATCGCTCGAATGTGTCACCTGCGCATTCGAAGGTTGGGTTTGGTAATGGAACCGTGGTACTGCTCGTAGGCATGAGCAAAGCAATGCTGATGGATGCAATCTTTAGCGTCGTCACCGTCATCGTCATGATCATCATCATCATCATCATCATCACCATCGAGAAGACCGAGACTTATCTGACAGAAGGTTCACATAGGCACGAAGAGGACGAGGAAGCGCGGAGATGCAAGCTGTCACCTTGTCACCGCCAAGCTTTGCGCAATGCCGGAGGCTCCTGAAGCCGAGTGTTTCTGCATGTGGGACAGCGAGGAAGAAAATTGCCGGGGTCTCGGCAGGTTGCATCGTGACAGGCCCGGTTCCCTTTCTTCATCTGTTCGTTCTCTTGGTCGACAGCAAGCTCGGGCAAAGAAAAGCAATCAAGCCAAACCCGTAAACGCACAGCAACCCAACCCAACCCAACGCAACGCAACGCAGCCCAACGCAACCCAAGCACCCGCCCGCCCGCCTCCCCCAGAGTATCAGTCAGTCAAGGGGCTGCCAGAAGACAGGGGGGAATGCTTGGACAGCCTTCTGCGATGAAGCTGATTTAGGAATTCTACTTTACTCGTGGTGTTGTCTGAGTCAGCTAGCATTATTTCAAGCGTTCCTGTTTCTCTGACTCGCCATGTAGCATGACTGTTCTAGCCTGTCGTTAGCGGTGTGGGGCAGGCATTTTCAGCCATTGAGAGACACTGGAAAGATTGAAGTGTATTGAAGGGCTTACGCCTCCGGGACAAGATTCTTGTTTCCCAAGGCATGACGCAAGATGACTTGACGTCCAACAGGCCGGTTCTCCCATTGCTGGCCTGGAGCAGCCCGTCCACCGTTTAGGTCTGCAGCTGATGTGGATGCAGAGGCGCTGGGGTGATGAGCACTGTGCCCGAGACATCGCGATGCGGGCAGGAGCCTCTTGAGTTCTCCATGCTGGACTACCTGGCAGAGCTACCCGAGGACTGGAGCTCTCGCATGTGCGGATGCGAGCGGCACATCGATGCCCCTTTCAGGGTGTTGCAGAAAAGCTTCAGCGGTGTTTGAAGACGCACGAGGAGTTGGTGCAGGGCGCCCAGTTCCAAGACAAGTGCAGAACAAGCCTGCAGTACTTCTACAGCTCCAGCTCTATGTCGCCAGGAGGAGATTGTGCCAGAGGAACGAGCTCCTCCAGGCTACGGCCCCATGGTGGACTGGCCGCGGAGAGTTGCTTGTCAGAGCTGAGGCCCACGTCCGAAACGCTCGCTGCGACGGGATGGAGGCTTGCGCTAGGGATCCCTGCTCGACAAGAGGAACCGCGAGGCACTTGCCTTGCCCTCCAGGCCAGAATGTCTCCAATGACGCCGCAGCAGTCGAAGAGTTTTCCTTTCTCTCCGGCTCCGCCAAGAAATTCGCCGCAGGCATGCTCTTGCATTCTATTGTCCTTCTGCATTTTCTGCACAAAGCCATCTCAAGGCAGCGGCGGCATTCAGCAGCCGCACGGTGCAGAGGGAACCAAGGCAAGAATCTTTGCTTGCATCGTAGTGCGAACAGCTAGGTCAGCTAGGTCCTAGGTTCAACATTGCAGCCCTGCTCGAGAGGCTGGTGAAGCCAATCACTTCTAAATCGGTCGAAGCTTTGCTGCAATAACTCTCAAGATGCATTTCTCGTCACACTCGGGATCATTGCAGGCGGAGCGTGGTTCTACCAACCAGGGCTGTTTGGCCGAGCACGAGGTGGATGTGTCGTCGAAGTACTCAGATCCCTTGGTGTTCAGCGTGGCAGGCGACCCTGAGAGCGAGGCTGCAGCGCACCATCAAAGCCTCCAAAGAGCGAGTGCAGGTAATGCAGAGGCGGCATCGATTGAGCCGAAGTGCCAACTCAGGGTGCAAGGATGCCGTCGGATAACACCTTATCAAAAAAGCCGGTCGAATCCGGTCTGTACATGCAGGCGTGTGGAGCGCGAAGAGCAGCAGGTCAAGAATCGTTTCGAGGCAAGTCGTTCGTCTCATCATTTCGACATGCTTTGGTGATTTTGGCCAGGTCGCCATGCAGACACGAGAAGGAATGGAGCGCAGCATCAAGGCAAGCGCTGTGGTTCCAGTAGTCCTGAGCAGTAAAGTCTGTCCGAAGGCTGCCCTTAGGGAGCACAGCCTGGCGAAAGTGCGAATCGCTGAGCTTGAGGACTTCCGCGATGCTTTATGGCTTTGTGGCTTTAGAACCTTCGAAAAGGTTGCACCACTCTCGTCTATGTTTTGTCCATGGAGGAGGCGATCAGCATCGATGCAGCTCGCTGTCGAGCCAAGGAGAAGGCCGTTGCACAATGGCAGAAGATTTTTGTGTCAATCTGAGTCGCCCAGCAACACTGCCGGTCCTGTGCTCAAGACGAAGTTTCCGCGTTTCAATTTTGACATCTTCTGGCAGGAGCGTGAAGAACTCTCTGAGAAACAGACAGGCCTTCGCAATGAGCTGAAGGCGTGAATAACTTCATGAGCATGTGTGTCGCTGGGAGTCGTGTGACGGTAAGTTCGTTAACAAGTTAGCGACCTTTCACATGTGTATGTAGGCGGCCGCTGGCATATCAGGATTGGAGAATTTGGCAGGCAGTCAGGTGTGGAGCTAATTGGCGGGTCAGTAGGCTAAAGAGAGCGAGCTGCATTCAGCTTAGCTTACTTCGTCCTAGTGACTTCAGTTTAGCCTTCCGCTGGGACGAGCTCGGTTAACTCAACTGCTTCTTCTATTGTAAGTTCACATAGTTCTGTATTGTAGCCTGGACTTCAGTTTAGGCTAGCTCGTTGACGCTGGTGAAGCCACCGAGGCACGACGAGGCTGAGCTCAGTGACTTACTCTAAGTTCTTCTGTTGTCTAGTAGTGCAACTTTATAGTGGCATTCAGTAGCTCATCTTGGCGAGCTTAGGCCCTTCTGCGCCAAGAGAATTCATTGGGCGGTTTGGTTGTTTACGCAGCTTTGTAATTTTACTGTGTGGCCTCGAATACCAACAAACATCGCACTGTTGACTCGCATCTTGGGCTTGCTCAAGCAGTGAAAACGAACACTCCTGACGTGTAAGAACTGGCAGAAACAGCATAGACAGCTGCGCATGTTTCTTATCATGATAAGAGTGAACTGATGGAGGGCGAAAAATCGTGAAATGTGCTTTCGGTTCTTTCATGTCGCGAGCTTATGCAGGCCCAGCGGAGCAGGGCCTCAAACCATCAGAAGTGCGAGCGTCGCATTCAGGAGAGTTTCTTTCAGAATTAAGCAGCTTCTTTTCATTGCTTCCTGTATTCAGAGCGCAGGACCTGCAACGTGAGCTGGAGGCGCGCTCTCTTTCACGAATCCTCTCTTCCCATAGCCGAGTCACAGCGTCGCAGCCTTGACCGAGGCATTGACCAAGGCCTGCCACTCCGAAAGTCCTAGGTGGGCTTTGTGAAGCGGTGCAGCGCCAGATGCAAATTCGATGCCTAATTAGGGTTCCCCGAAACAAACCATGTACAGATCCTAGTAGAGCGGCTCAGCTCTAATTCAGTGAGGCTCTAGCACAGGGGTGTGCCCGCTACAAAGCAGTCACCGGTCAGGGCACAGATCTGCGATTCCAGCGACAGCGAGTAGCTCGTGCTGGAAGTCAGTCCAACACCTGTTGCTGTCTTGCGTGTTTGTTGCCAGCTCAAGGGAGGTGGCTAACAGTATGATTCAAGTTCCGTGTAAGTTCAGCTCAAGCATTCCAAGTCCTCATTCGTTTATCCTAATGTAAGCGCACATCCAGTTGTCTCTACTCCATCTATCCGCCACCTTCTGGACCGGAGTTGATAAAGTGTCAAGCAGACAATCGCGCCGCCATGGTAAAGTTGGAGGCTCAGTTATGATACAGGCTGCAGGGTGACATGCAAACGCATCGGGCATCGGAATCTCGAGATGTTCCAGACATCTTAGTCTGTGTTGCGTGATTGCGAAACTTCATCTCAAGCTGTTTGCCTGGGTTTTAACCCCGCGTATCAGAAGATCGCCCATGCTGCATGGTTCGTCGTAGAGAGGAGGTTCGCGAGTGCGGCTCTCGACTTCGGGCTTGAGCCTCGGCTTTGACGACGTCGTGGTTCGTGCGTTCCGCTTGTCGTGCTTGGCGCCAGCCCATGGCAGCATGCGTTCGGGACCTTAGTGCCTTAGCGGCATGGAGAGGTGGCGAGAGGCTGTGCAAGCTGCGAGAGGTGAGGTCATCTAGGCTCAGACTTATCAAACGTGTATAAACCGGGCGTTGACCATTCCCCAACTATGCGGCAGCAGTGAGCAAGCTAAGGCACATCGCTCGAGTCAACCAAGTCTCCAAATGATCGTAACAGCCCTTCGGTGTAGAGTTCAGAAATAGTTCACGTCTTTATATTTAGGTCACATCACCCGTTCGGTTTTCCCTTTGCAAGGCTACCGTCTCATCCGTTTGGGAAACGGGATCGAAGCCCTCCTGGTGTCCAACTCCGACGAACAGAAGCAGAAGTCTGCCTGCGCATGCAGCATACAGGCATTGTGCTGGAGTTTGGGATCAGGGTTTCATTGTCAGGTTGTGTCACATTAAAAGTTCAGCGACTTGAAAACAGGGATTCAGGGTTTCGTTGTCGTCGATTCCGTCCTGTTTGCAGGTTGGCTCTTTCAGTGATCCTGGTCATTGTCAGGGCCTGGCGCACTACTGCCACTTGCAGATCAAATTGGATGACCACATGTCGGTCTATGCTGCAGCCATGGTCACGTCGGAGATGGCAAACTAAGGCGAACACATGATTTTCCTGGGAAGCAAGCGCTACCCGGGCGAGGCACAGTTCGAGGAGTTCCTGTCCGAGAACGGAGGGGAGTCCAATGCCTACACGGAGTGCGAGTACACCTGCACCCTGGTTGCACCCTGGCCCTGGCGGCCCTGGGGGCCCTGGCTCTGGCTGTCATGGCTGTTCTTGGGAGCTGAACTTCCATAAGGCCTCTACTTCGACGTGAATCGCAAGGCCGGAGAATCGAAGTCAGCTCTAGCGCGCGAATCTGATCTGTTTTTTTTTGGCGAGGCCCTCCACCATGCCTTGAAAATGTTCGCAGAGCTTCTGCATGAGCCGCTCTTCACACAAGATGCATCTGCAAGGGAGCTCCAGGCACCGCGGCACCGGGCAGCATGTTGTTTACTGGCTCAGCGACAAGCAGTCAGGCTATCGAGTCTGAGTTTCAGAAGAAGCGAAGAAGCGACACTCGATTGGACTCTTATTTCCTTTCCGACTTGTTCCTGGATTTGCATTGGCTTCGCACTGGGTACACGTTGGCACGAGGGCAGACAGGGGGGGGTGTCATAAATAATTACTCCAGGCGGGAGGTGTTATGTCTCGAAACAAATGTAGCGGAATCTTTCGTTGTTTGTGCACGACAACCCGGGTCCGCTCTTGTGTGGATTGAAGGTTTCTGGGTTTAGGGCTTCTAGGTTCAGGGGGTTTCTGGATTTAGGGTTTCTGGGTTTGGCGTTTCTAGGTTCAGGGGGTTTCTGGATTTTGGGTTTCTTCTGGGTTTGGTGTTTCGGGGGGTTTCTGGGGGATGATCCCTCCGTAGGACGGTAAGACCCTCCGATGAAAGGACCATGTCCGTGGAGAGACCTTGTTCGCCAGCTTCGCCTCACCGGGGCATCCTTGGAGGACCTCCAGTGGTCCAGCCTGTGACGAGACCGCCAGCAGAAACTCAAAGATGAGTAAAAAACTCAGGTCACCCAAAGCCTCGGGGGCATCAGATTGCCCTATTTCGTCAAAATGCCTCAAGGCGTAGCAAACGTGCCAAGCATCCGCAAGTTCTCCTGCTTCGATTGGGTCCTGCTAGGAGCTTCGGCTGGGGCAATCTGCAAAGTCTCGATGCCGATCCCAAAGCCCAGGCTCGCGGAGCGCGCAGACATGTGCAGACGCAGCTCTTTCTGAAATTGGCTAATTCCTACGATTCCTTTGGCCTATCCGCATCAGGGAGTTGACCTCCACGCAGAGCTGAGACATTTCTTCAGTCGTCACTACAAGGCAGGTCGCATATGGTCACATGCTCATTGAAGGGTATCGAGTCTATGGCAGACTTGTGTCAGGCTTGCAGAATGCGGCTGAGTGTTTTTGGCATCGAAAGCCTGGACTCATTAGAACTCGCTGTTGTCGATGCCTTCTCGGTCATTCCTCCGTCTGATGTGGAGCTGCTGGACTTTGAAGCTCATGGCCTGCCTTTGTGCGTCCAGGACAAGTTTAACAAATCCTCGTGCCACGTGCGCTTGTCTGCGCACAGCCTCATGATGCCTCATGACATCTCGCGCCGCTCTGTAGCCGTCGAGGACTTGCCGCGGTTGGTGCGTGTACGTCCGATATGTGATGGACATGTGCTGTGGTTGAGCTGGCAACTGCCTTCACAACTCAAGCACTACAAGAGTGGCCGAGCTGCGCTGGAGGTTTAGAACACTTGCTGCTGTGGGGCCGCGCAGACAGTGCTCATGAGTGACGGTCCCGAGGTAAGCCAGAAAGCTACCTCAGCAGTCTCATAGGCCACGGATCTCGTGTGGGTGTTGAGGAACACTGTGGATACGTCTGGGCCGTTATAATTGTGGAGTTGTCAAATCATGCCAGGTGATGAGGGACATGGGTCGATCCTGTCCTATCTGAAAGACATAGGTTGGGCCACGGATCTTTGCGCAGGCGCAGGAGGTGATAATTTCAGCCACAGCAGAGGCTCATCTGAAGATCATGCTGCGGCAGCGAAATGCCTTTGACTTGGGTCCACGCGCCAGCCAGGTAATTCCATGATATTCACCATTGAAATCACCCTGACGGTCAATGGCCTTGGCCATTGGACGGAGGTGGTGGCGACTGTGTTCCAATACCTGGACATGCTCAGGAGTTATCCTGACGGTGACCTGCCGTCGTACCTCTATGAAGAGAAGAAGCTGATGGCAGAATGTTCATTCAGGTTTTTGCAGGAGAAGGATCCGCTCGTTCTGAGGTTGCCACAGAAACGATTCTCCTAGCTTTCACGGTTCCATCAGTGACCAGGATCCTGGGGACCTGGTCATCGATCTGAGTGCCGCTCAGCCAAACAGTTTCTACAGTCGTGTTGCCTCATGATCGAGCATGTCCGTCCGGCGCGGTTGTCCGATAATATCGTTGACGTGCTGCTCTAAACACCGACGGCCAATCCAAGCTGACAAGTCTGTACTGAACCTCTGCAAGTACTTGGGGGAGGTTGAGGATGGCTTGTGCGGGCACGGCTAAGAAGCTCGACTTCCGGAAGGGTAGCAGGATGGAGGGCCCTCGTGACGCGATCGATTCAGAGGAAGCGTAGACACGAGCAAAGGCAAATCCTGAGTCCACCAGCCATGATGGCCACAACGAGTTGAAGTGTTCAACGACTAGTACAACTCGGTGTGCATGACGCAGTATGCATGATACTGTGAACTCAGGAGCGCATGCTGCCGTTCTACCGCCATGAGGCAGATCATCTGCTGACGGCGCCGTGGATATATTCTGGCTTCAGAGAGGACCTCGTGAGGTTGCTTCGCGCAGCAATAGCTCTGTAGTTCTGAGCCATGAGCGTCGCCGTTCGAAGAGGTAGACTCTCCAAATCCCAAGATGATTAGGTCCATATTGAACTTGCTTACAGTTCGCGGATGTTTTTTCATGCTGATGAGCAGCTCCTATGGCAGAGCAGGCTGGCAAGCTTTCACATCTTGCATTGGGCTTGTGCACTGGGGATTGATGCTTCGGGAGGTGGCCTGGATGCCGTCAATGAAGACACCCCTCAAGAAGGGGAGCCGTGCATGGAAGATGTCGCTGTCGGACAGGGACATGTTGATCGACATTTTGTCGAGTTGGCTGGATGTGAACCGAAGGTGGAACCCTACTTCGGAACCGAATACTGGGACTCCCCGCTTGAAGAGACACTCCTCTTGAGCTGGGAATCGCTGCATACGGCAGAGAAGCTGCACGTTCCACCTCCGAACCCTTTCATCGCCACTGACTTCTCCATTCTGCAGCAGTTCACTACTGTGGAGGAGTTCCCACAACCCAAGACAGGCTACGCGAGTTTCCCAACGGTGAGAAGGCTTCTGCCGTCTCCTGAACTTCTCAGATCCCACGCTGCAGGCACAGGATTTTCTGACTTTGAGAAATAATCAGAACAGCTTTTTGGTCCCTTCCACCTCTTGGCGGGGAGACCTGGGCATAGAATTTTCGGTCTCTCTGGAAATCTCTCTGGGACTGGGCGTGGAATGAGCCTTGTAACGAATGCAGAAGCCGATGCATTTGAAGCTCATGTTGGGCGAACGAGACATACTTGAACCATCTTGAGCCTTCAGAGCTTTTCCCAGGTTGAGGCAATACACAAAAGGATCTTCCGCTCTTGCAGAAGTAGAGCTCGGGGAAGTGGCTCAGAAGCAGGAGGTGGAGGAGGTGGTGGGGAAGCATTGGCGGAAGGTTTGGCATGGAAGGGGCTTAAGCGTCCTGGAACTTGTAGGGCCTCCTCGCTTCCTCCCATTTTCTCACATGTCCTGCATTCGTGTCAGGCCTGAAACTGTGGCATCTGCCTTGCGCAGATCGGTTCAGGCAGCCGCGCAGCCAAGTCTCAGTGAAGATGCACTCACCCTACTACTCGCTGGACGCGGGCAATGTGCAGAAAGGGGCGCTGCTGGAACTCTATGCACTATGCTTCAATGACAGCTTGAATGAGATGCTTTATGCGGCTGGAAAGGCGAGACTGCACTGCGCGGTGAACAGTACAAGCTATGGCCTGACAATCAAAGCTGGAGGCTTCAGTCAGAAGCTTTTACGACTGGTGGAGACAACGTTGTGTGGTCGAAAGCTGGAGAAGTACAAACCAGACCGCTTCCTGGCGATGCACGAGGCGCTGCTCAGAAGCTACCGGAATTCATGGTTGAAGCCGCAGGCGCACTGTTCAGATCTTCGCAAGCTTCTGCTGATGCCATCAATGCCCAGACCCTCAGGGAAGGAGGCGCAACTGAACTCCTGCGGATCTGAGCAGCTCATGGCCTTCGTCCAGAACTTCAATTCTGTAATGGGGTGTGAGCTGTTGGTTTCTGGGAATACGCCGGCAGAGGAGTTGATGGGCTGGGCAGGAACAGTCTTTGATGGCTACAGGTTGGAACCTCAGGCAAAGCTAGAGGTGGATGTGGTACAGCTTCCTGTGGGATCGGCGACAGTATGGCTGCAATCTGCAGTCGACGCCACGCAGTCGAACTCTGCAGTCGAGATCTATTTTCAATTGCCTGAGCGGGACACGTGGCAGTGGCAGGAGGATGAGGGATTCGCGGGCTTAGCGGGCTGTCAGATAGACTCACACTCGGTAGTTGTACTCGCTGCTTTCTAGGGAATCGCCGCGACCTGTTCCGACGGCACCAGGACCGGGTTCGTGTCAGGGTGGTTCTGGCCTTGTTGGAAGACGTCATGTATGAGAGCCTCTTCGATGAGCTGCGAACGAAGCAGCAGCTTGGATACAGTGTTGGATGCAGTATGCGTGACGCTTGTCCGAAAGAAGACTTAACCAGGCCTCCTGTTATCGAAACGGCAAAGGTTGCACTGCTATACTAGACTAAGCAGCACAATGATAAGGACACATATGGCGTGCCAGGCCAACAGCTGAGTTTTTTCCAGATATTTGCTGCTACTTGTCGCATCGCGATATAGGCTTCAATGACGAGGGGTCTGATCACTGCTTGAAGGATTTAGCATATACATCCTCAGCGCTGTCCAGATGCCACCGATTCTAGTGGAACGAGCTATGCAGTTTTTGCAGGACGGCTTCTGTTTCCGCATTCTGGCGATGTATGAGATCACCAGCCTTTCCGACAGGATTTCGGGCAACAAATGCGACAGTGGCAGAGCAACAAGTGGCCCAACTCGCACATGGCGGCAGTCTCTCAACGTGCTGGGTTCATGGTCGTTCCATGTCAGAGTGAGAGTTCTTGTCGTAGTCAGCAAGGTTTGAGAGCCACATCGTTGCGCTTGCAGGCTACAATTGTGCTGATGCAAAAAAGCACGTAGAAAGAGCTCTGTCATGTGCAGGAAGATGGCTGGAACCGAAGAGGACGCTGGGCGAAGCTCATGGTGCATGCTGGTCTGAGCTCCTTGCTTGGCATCTCTTGAATTTCTAGCTCGCTTGTGAGACGAGACTCGCCCTACTCTGCCTCAGGATCAGCTTTGGCTTTCCTGTCTTCGACCGCTCGGAGCGCGAAGTCGCGATACTGGGAAGCCTGAAACAGGAAGAGCTCTTGAAACTCTTCGAGATGCTGAGCCGCAGAGAGCCGTGACGTGCCGTTCTTGCTAAGCCGACTGGTCAGCTTAGTCCCCATGTCATGTGAGGTTGCATTTGGCACCAGGCACGGAATTTGTCAGTTGTTACTTGAGATGGGTGAAGTTTTTTCTGACTCTGCACGCTCGTGAGGTGGCTCTGGTCGGGCCTGCATTGTCACAGCGGTAGTGCCATCAGCAGATGAGCTGCAGCTACCGGCTCTATGTGAATCTATTTCCAAATTTCACTTGGCAGTTTCCACAGTTCCTCGGCCGGCACTCAGAAAGCTTGAGACAGGAAGCGAAGCCCTCTCAAGTCTTTTCTCAACCAAGCAGAAAGCCCTGCCACTCACCCGGGCTTGGTTTCCTGCTCGCCCGCACCATGTCCAATCATGAGAACCTTGCCAACCGAACTGCGGGCACCCCAAAGCTTTTCTGACTATCTGCACGGCATTCCAATTGGCTGCCTGAAGGTCCAGTGTGAGGGGGAGTTCCACTCGAGGAGTCACTTCTATCGCCGCCGCAGAGATGGAAGTCCGTTTACAGAAGCAGGCTCGTGAATCGTGCAGACTTGGGCATCATCGAACATCAAGCAGAACCAGAGCTTGTTTTCTCTTCGTTGTGGCATGGAGGATGCCTGGCAATTGGATGCGACCTACTCTTTCGTGTTTGACGCAGTTTTTCTCTGAAGTCCTTGCGCAACACACGTGGAAAGCACATAGCAGAGTCTGCTCCTGTCTGCTCCGAGCTCCGTGTGTGCGATGACGTAACTCCTGAACATTTCTTGGCACATCGACTTGCTCGCGGGATGGAGGACACCAAGCATAGCGAGGCACCGCTAGGCTTTGGCGCCTCTGACCAGCCAGGGCTGACTTGAGGCTGACTTGTGGTTACGAGCACGGAGTTCTCTCGTGGATCCAGTTTTCGAAGGATCCGACCCCGGCTCCTTCGCTTGGCTTTGAGAGGCCGTGGTCCGACTTCGACTCCTGGTGATCGCAGTCCCGCGCAGTCTTGCGAAAACAGAGACTAAAAGCATTCATCGGGCGGTGTGGCTTGAGGCTGGAGACTTGATGGCTTGTACAATCTTGTACATAAAGATGCTGCTGCACCGTGCGAACGCGCTGCATGTTGGATTCGCGAATCTCAGTGTGCACAAAGGTTTGGCCAGACCCTTGAGACCTACAACTCGAACAACTGGCCGAAGTTTCAGGGTGCTTGGATCCAATACGAGGACTTGTTCTTGAACCTGTGATCAAGACGGTAGAAGTGGGCGGTTTCAAGGACCTCAAGAGGGCCATCTCGGTTTACACTGGGCAGGACGGGCGCATACTTGCAAATCGGATTTCGGTGCAGCAGCATGTCACCTGTGGCCGCATGGCTGGAGGTCCCCTTGTCTTATCTTTCTCTGTAGGCCTGCTTTCCCCGTTTGCCTGCCTGCACATATTCCGATGGAACGGATTCAAGAGAAGTCATGTAACCGACCGCACGCACGGTCGTTTGTCTAAGGTCATCCAATTCAAACGTTAGGAAAGGGAGGCGGGGTGTGCTCAGCATAAGCGTCTACTTGCTTCGCAGGACAAAGACAATGCGACTGTTGAGTCAGACCTGGGCTTATTCTCTTCGGTACTTTCCGTAGCCACTCTAAAGACTTCCTTTCACCAAGGTCACGCACTGGTCATCTTCATTCCTTCGACTAGGCCCCAATCCAGAGCTGCCTCCGGAGGTGGGGCGAAGCAAAGAGAGTTTCCTGCCCTAGTGGAATGTGTGTGGTCCTGGGCAGGCTCGCCTGAATGACATCCTGAGTACGCCTGGCCTGTTGCACACTTGTGAGAATCTAAGCTGGAACTGTCTGCCAGCCGCGGAGTTGTCCCGCATTGGCAAGTTTGTCCAAACCGAAGAGGCCGCGGGACGGCATCACTGTTTAGAGAGATCGAGAAAGAAAGGAAGAGACAGTGTGTGTGTGTGTTTAACGTGCCCTCTTCTCTGGGCATTGGGCTACTGCAAGTGCGTTTTGCGTGGCAGGCGCGGATTATTTTGATATTAGTGGTTTCTAAGACCTCTAAAAAGCTAGGATGTTAGTGTAGAAGTCGATCAGCACTTTTGTTATCAGCATCGTGGGATATGTGGCTGACCACCACTGTGTACCTGCCATATCGTGTATCTGTGCGCTGTTGAACAATGATCCTGTCTGTCGCCATTCGCAGTTGCACGTGCCAAGCCAAAAATTGTGTGTGTATGTGTGTGTGTGTGTATATATATATATATGTGCGTACGCGTGCGCGCGCTTGCCGGCCGGTGGGGTGGGTATATAAGCAACTTGGCTCGGACAATGCTTGCGAAAGGGCGGACGAAGACACACTTTACCAGGCCCTAAACAGTCCCAAAGTTGTCTGCCCAAGCTGAACGAACAAGAGTGAGGGAGGGAACGGAGGATTCTAAGCCGCGAGGCTTCTGTCACGGATGTAGTGTTTGGAAGCCATCGGCCTGGCGAGGCGCGCATTCATCGGAACCTGGATGCCTTGAAGCAGGAGAACTGTCCACCACATTGTCTCATCCGGAATCCAGCCACTCAATCTTGGTGGTTCAGTTCCACTTGCCATGCCCTTCTGGTTCCTTTCCCTCTGTTGTATGAATGTGCCACTGATCTAGTAACAGGATCCTTGGGATGCAACATAAATTTGCAATACTTTTTGGTTGCTTTTGGCTTGGTGTTGTTAGCTCTGCTGTATGTAATGCACTTCAAATTTAGGTATTCAGCCATTCAGCTGCTTGGCGCAGCCAAGTGTTGCTGCTGGAGGTAGTGTCTCGACCAGATCTGAAGTTGTTGTTTGGTTTTGTAAAGTCCCATCCTACATAGCAGTCTGCAGCTGATGACATTTGCTCCATTCTGATGTGGTCCCTGCCTGCAAAAGCTGCAGCGGACAGTGGACCGGTAACTTTTGGCCACCTCCGGACCTCCAACTTAGTGCGTGCTGGCAGTGCTACTAGCAAGCATTTTTCAGGATGTTCTGGCCAGCAAGCCGCTCGAGGAATTGTGCCGAAGGCGCATCAAGCCGGACCGTATCGCAACATCCTGCAACTAGAGGCGGCTTGCGTTCCACAAAGGCTAGAGGAGGTGGGCACGGACATCAGCGATTTGAAGCTAGTACCTCAGAGAACTTCCTCGAGGAGTTTCAAGTCTTCTCTAGACCATTGATTTGCTGGGAAAGGTTTTTCGTGCAACAGAACTTCACTGGCTTCAGAAAAGCATTGAAGAAGTACGAGAAGCCACACGGATGCAGAAAAGCTGCGACCTGCGAAACCGTTAGCTTATTCAATGATTTTTCGGTTTCATTCTCTCATTCACACTGCCATGTTGCTGAGGTCAAGCAAGAAATTCATCATGCAGTGGTTCATGACTCAGGCTGGGCACTGAATATGCAGCCCCGAGAGTGGACCCGTGGCTGCCCGTGGACCAGATTACTCGTGGCTGAGACAAGCCACTGAGACAAACCTGGCCAGGTGGCGAAAGCCCCTCTCATGGCGACGGACTTTGCCGGGGCCTCCGCAGCTTCATTGGCCCACCTGGACCGAATCGCAAGACTGCTTGATGATTAAGGACAACATGCTGGGAAAGTTTGGCGACATTGCCCAGATTCTACGAAGCAAGGCGCTTGCTTCCGTTGTTCCTGCAAGGATTGCCTCTGTTCAAGAAGAGCTAGATGGTAAACGACTGTACGCACAGCGAACATAACGGTGGAGAGTCTGTGTCGTCTGGCAGGGTGCCGCGCCGCTGGAGCCTCAGACTTCAGCCTTGAGCAGGGCAAGGTGGACTGCAGGGCGCCGAAGCCTTCCGTGGCATGGATGCCGGCAAGCACCCATGGACTTGCCGATACTGACTTGCCAATACTTGCATTCAGGTACAGTGATGTCAAACACAGTCTCTCTGGTGCAGATGGCCCTGCTCACAGAGAGTCCGTATTGAACGCAAAGAGACGGTAGGCAAACAGATCGTCCAGGATCCTCGCTTGAGAGCACCTACCTGCTGGAAGCAAAGGCTAGTCCTGACAGCATTGCAAAGCATGGTGTCAGCCGTCATCCTGCAGCCCTGGCCAGTCTGCTATGAAGTTCCGAGTAAAGCTGGCAGCCTTCATGGTGCCAAAGAATATTGCTCAGGACATGGTGACGAGCCACAAGCTGCTGTAGCAAATCTGTCACAGCATAGGATGTTCCTGCCGTTGGCGCTGGCGCGAAAGCGCCCGTGGCTCGGAGCCAGCAGGCACAGGACCTGTGAAATGCATCCGTATGGAACCTAGGCCGAGACCCAAGACGACCTCGGTTTTTCTCGACACGCCGGACTTCAAGGTGTCGAGCTCCACGTTGATGTCCAAATTGATGAGGGCATATGAGGGCTTCCACAGCATCTAGGTCTACAATGATGTGCTCCAGTCCAACCAGAGCATGTCGTTTGCTGAAAGGGCAATGCAGCAATGCAACAGAGAAGTCGCAGTTGTTACTGTTGCTGCAAGAGCATCGGACATAGCTGGCCCAAGGCCAAGTGCTGCGATGCACATTCGAAGAAGTGATCCAAATCAAGTCGCGTGCGTCGTGTATCAGGCCATTTTTCAGCACAAATGAAGCTGAAGAGTCAGCCATGCCATCCGCCAGGCGAAAGGAGACAAGAAGAGAACCGAAGTACTCATCAGGCTATCTGGTTCGGGATGCCCGCGTCTGTGTGGCAGACGCAGACCCTGAAGGAGTGATGAGGTGGCACGGTTGTTGAAGGGACAGGCGTGGTAATTCTGCCTTCCCGTGGTCTCCGGCGGTCATCTCGAACTTGCCCGACTTGGTTCTGTGGGCTCTGCATGATTCTGCAACATTACGGGGTTGCTCCGGCAATCCTCAGTGTCAAACCTGTCCACCGACATTCGTGTAAAACGACCTTCATTTGTCACTGTGCAGGGCCGTGGATGCTTGCTGCTAGGATAAGTAAAGGAGCAGCTGCAAACACACAGCCGTGGCCCGTGAGCTTGCATACTGGACAGCACAAAGCTGCGATCACCCATTCGTGTTTGCCCCAAATCGCAAGTCAAGGCCATCGAATACCTACCAGTACAAAAAGTCGCCGCTGTCAGTGTAGAGGCGCTGACAGATCTGTGGCCGCGGACGATCGGAGCTGCAATACACTCCGAACATTTCAGGGCGGTTTCTGGGCCGGGGGGGGGGGGGGGGGGNNTGGGAAAGACAGGCACTGAGAACTGGCCCTTTGATTACAGTGTGCTCGCGTGTTCTCTGTGTTGACGATTTCTTTCGTGCCTACACCGCCAAGGCTTCCAGTTTGTGCATTTGTAGAGTCCTATTCGCCGGTGTCGCTTGCCATTGTTTGCTTCTCTCTCGGTCCTTGTAGTATCTTTGTATTATGTTCGTTCATCCTGTTTCTGCAGTGCGTCCTAGACCTTGACCATGCAAGTCGGAGGTCCCAAGCACCGTCTTGGATGCTCGGGCTATTGGAGTGCGTGGTGTGATTGGTAGTGCCTGGAGCTTTGGGTACATAGTCGATCCCCACTGGCCGTTAGCACAAACTCCAAGGACCCTCCAGCTGACAAGCTAGTGGGAACTTCCAAAATGCAGGAGGCCGGTTGCCTGACCGTCTTCAGTTTTGATGCATGATCTTTGGCGTAGAACCCGGAGGTAACAAGAACATTTGGGAATACATTGGTTCCGATGGCAGAGGCGCACACTGAAGCCACTTATACTCTCTTTTCCCGGTGCAGTTGCAGTGCTTCCAACCGCGACGTGTTGGAGGCGAGCTACAGTCGCTCTATCTTGCAGGATGATTGTTGGATGCTCACATGCGGTAGTGGAACGAAAAGAGTCGGGCGCTTCCGGCGGAGTCATGTTTAAGGTGGCATTGTTGTCATCCTTGATGAGGAAGTGCGTTTCGGTAAAATCAAGGCGTGCCGAAACTTGTCCGTTCGCCAGTCGATGTGTAGAGTGGGCATGGCAGGAATGGGACTCAGGCAGCCCGACTTCTGTGGACTTTTTTCCATACGTGGCCTGGGCCATGGAGATAGAAGCTCTGGAGCTCTTGCCTGTGGCCAGCATTTTGANNGAAGGAGTCTTCCTGGCCAAGGTGCCTGAAACACAGGCGTGTGACATCTCGTAAGTCCCGTGTGATTGAAGGTGGCTTGGTCTTTTTGAAGACGGCAGTGTGGTGCAGGCTTTGCACAGTTCTTTGAGATGTGAGCAGATTCTAGCGGGTGCCTTGAGCTGACAGGCGAACGGCTTTTCAAAAGGAGCCCATGCCATAGCCCGCTTCCATGCATTGGGGTTGCGACCCAAGTGTTGCAGTGTTGCAGGCAAAGGCCTGCAGCTGCCCTGATCCGTGCACACATCCAGGCTGAAGCTGCAAATGCCACACTGGTATGCAAATGTTGACACCTCGGACTTCGGACGGAGCACCTGTCGCATTGAAAAGCTGCAGCAGGCAGCTACATTAAAAATGTTGGCCTGTGCCCCAGGTTTACTCCGATCTGCAGGACAATGAGGAGAACGAGGCTCACACGCCCGGGCCATTCAAGAGATCTGTGGGCTATTTGGCCGTATTGCTTTGCCGCAA